AGTATTTGCAGCACTTTGGAGACTGTCTTTGAGATGCTAGTCCGCTGTCTTCCCAGTGTTGGCCTCACTGACATAAACTCCTTTCTCGTTTCACCATCATTCATCTCTCTGCCTTCGGATTTTGTCAGCAGCAAGTGGCCAAACCTGGTGTGTCTGGGACCCCCTGGAGCCGGGTGCTCTCGTGCCCCTGCGCCCCAGCTACATTCAATACCAATCCAAGTCCAGGTTGTCACCTATGTTTCTGACTGACCTCCTCTCCTCGGGTTTGATTAATCTGCTACAGTGGATCACAGAACTCAAACATTTTACTTATTAGATTAACTGGTTTATTATAAAAAAGATATAATTCAGATACAGCCAGATGGAAGAGACGCACAGGGCCAGGTATGGGGAAAGGGCACAGAGCTTCCAAGCCCTCTCCAGGCATAAAACTCTCCCAGCATCTCCATGTGTTCATCAACTATTCTTTACATGACATGTTTTGAATTTTACATTTTGGCTATTACATCAAGTATTGTTACATCACTCTGTGGGCCAAGCTCTTTGATCCCTGTCTTTCTGGGTTTTTATGAAGGCTTCATTACACAGGCAAGATTGAGTAAATCATTGGCACTGGCAATTGATTTAACCTCCAGCCCCTCTCCCTTCCAGGTTGGGAATGAAGGTTCCAACCTTCCAATCACATGGTTGGTTCTCCTGGCAACCGGCCTCCAACCTTAGATTACCTAGGGGCATTCTAAAAACCATCTCATTCACATGGCAAAAGACACCTTTATGGCTCTCATCACTTTGGAAATTCCAAGGGTTTTAGGACCTCTGTGGCAGAAATAGGAAGACCAACTCTATACTGATTATAAAGCACAATATTAGAGGCAGAGAAGTTTCTGTGGCGCCACACTGGTGGAACTTGCTGGAAATCTGCACTCTTGGCTGTTGGAGAAAGCTGTTCATGGAAAAGTGTCTTTTTTTTTTTTTAAGATTTTATTTATTTATTTGACAGAGAGATAGCACAAGTAGGCAGAGAGGCAGGCAGAGGGGGAGGGAGAAGCACGCTCTCCACTGAGCAGGGAGCCCGACGCGGGGCTTGACCCCAGGACCCTGGCATCATGACCTGAGCCGAAGGCAGCCGCTTAACCGACTGAGCCACCCAGGCGCGCCATGGGAAAGTGTCTTACTGGAGAGACTCTCCTATCCTATAAAACTACCCAAGGCAGGGTGGTGCCAGTGAGAACTACTGACTGCTGGGCGCTGGAGAAGTATGTGTTCAGCAGGAGTCTACGGCTTGAAAACCTGCCTGTAGTGCCGGAGCTGGGCCCTGGAGAAGCCAAGCTGGAGGCCAGAGAAGCCCAACGTGTATGCTGCAGGAGCCTGCACTGGGGAAGCTGGGCACCGGGGAGGCTGGCTGCCTGTGCCATAAGAATGGCTGCCAGAGTAGTTGCCTAGAAGCAAGCACGGACCAAGAAGGAAAAACCCTTCCTCTTTCTCGCCAGTATCCTCTACTGGGCCAGCTGGCAAAGGAAAAAATACTTAAAGGGCCCATATCCATTTCTGCAGAGTAGTCAATGAAGAGTAAATTTGGAGCTGAGAGGCAATACATTGATAACTGGCACACTAACCTACTAGAGTTACAAAAAAAGATACACAGAAGCCAAGTGACAGCCAAGAACAGAAGAGAGCAAGTAAAATGCTTGCTCTTTAGGCTACCTATTTAGCTACTCACAGACTTTTCTGGTGCTGTAGATTAATGAAGTTTCTGGATGGACAAGTTCTACACAAAAGAGGTGCTACCAATATTCTCCTTCATCTCTATTATAATAACTAATATTTATTAAGTACTTACTATGCCAAGCATGTTCTATTATATCACCTCATATATATCAATTCATTTAATCCTCACAACAATCCTATGAGATAGATACTTCTATTATCTTCACTTTACAAAAGTTCAAGTAATTTGTCCAGGTTCACAACAGGCAGGCAAATGGCAGAGCCACAATCTGAATCCACATAATTTAGCTCCAGAATCTATACTCTTCTTTTCTCTGTATTTAAATTCAATTTCGTTAACACATAGTGTATTATTAGTTTCAGGGGTAGAATTTAGTGATTCATCAGCTGCATATAACACCCAGTGCTCATGACATCAAGTGCCCTCCTTAATGCCCATCACCCAATTACCCCTTCCCCCCACCTACCTCCCCTCTAGCAACTCTCAGTTTGTTTCCTAGAGTTCAGTGCCTCTTACGGTTTGCCTCCCTATTTTCATCTTATTTTTCCTTCTCTTCCCCTATATTCATGTTTTGTTTCTCAAATTCCACATGAGTGAAATCATAGGGTATTTGTCTTTCTCTGACTGACTTATTTTTCTTAGCATAATACCCTCTAGGTTCATCCCAGAATCTATACTCTTAAACACAATGCTAAACTGCTTCACTACAAAATCCATTTCATTGTTTCATTTTTTTGCTTTTAGCACCCATCTTGTTTCCCCAATTTGCCTTTGTCAAATGCAAGAAAAATTAATGAAGGAAACATACAGGTGCAGAAGCCAGGGTATAATTTTTTGGTTACTAGAAAACCGACCCCTAGAGAAATATAGAGCTTGCAATAGAAGTCTAATGTACTTATCTAGTAGTTAACCCCAAGATGTCATCACTTAAAAATCCATACAATGGGGCAGATGAATTTCCAGAGCAACTGATACCTATTCCTATAAATTCTATTTTATTTCAATAAAATTAGACATTCAATATTAGTATTTGAGGAGGATTGAGACTTCTAGAATTCTGTCATAGGTTTTAAGAAATACCTGTACTTATACTTAGCATTACTACTTGTTACCTGGAATTCCAAACTGAGCTACAGAGGATCTTAAACCTTGTTATCATTCAACAAAGTTGCACTTCTTCTACAATTAAAGGAAAGGTTAAGACTGTCACATACAGAAGCATTCCAGAATCCATTTCAGGTCTTCTTCCCTCAAAAAGCATGTGAATTCTTGAATATCACAATTTAGAACTGTCTTGACTAAAAAGACATCAAGTACGAAATTAATTTTGGATAGTTCAAAATGGGAATTGCTTCAGATTCTAACTTGGCAGGTGTCGATTTAAAAGGCATCTAAGACATTCCACTCTTTCTTATAGGTTTCAGTGCTATTTGAAGATGGTTTACCTCTGTAGTTTCAATTCTGCTACACTGACAAAATACAAGGTAGGAGATATACCGTGGAAGGGAGAACGTCAGTGATGTTAAAGATATTTCTAATTTGGAGAGCTAATGGAGATAATGTTAGTGGTGTTAAGACATTCCTAATTTGGGGAGCTAAGGTGCCAATTTAGATCCATGGTACTTTCATTCCTTCTTTACAGTGTTCATCAGAAAAACAAATACCATCTAATGGTCAAGTGCTTTGGATTGGTAATCAAACTGACTTAGTTTCAAATCCCATCTCTACCAGTGTCTACCATACTCTCTGAGCTGGAGTATGCCCATCTGAAAAGTGAGGTTTAACAGTATCTATCTCACAGTCTTCTCCTGATTTAATAAGACAATGCGCCATCAGTGCCTGGCACTACACAGAAGGAGTTCAGTAAGTTACCTATTATTAATATTATTAAACAGATAAATTTCAATAACACTTATCCATAGAATATCCTAGGGAAAAGAAAGTTTTTCAGGAAAATATTCAATCAGATTTTATCTAGATTTTATTTGATCCAAATACTTTTATCAAGCAAAGATACTTATGAAACAATAACCTTATAAGACAATAATCTGAGGAAAGGCAAAATTACTGATTGCTTTCCAGACACGGGTAAATTAGAATGCAAAGTATAAAATGTTTTATTTTAGAAATGAAACTCCAAACAGACATAACATTAATATCTATTGCATTATCTGAAGAGAATAAAACGTTGACATACCAGACAACGCAAAAGCCCTGAAAAATGCAACTTTGTCACATCTATTTCAAAAAGAACCAATTGTAGGAGAAGAGCATACTGGCTGAACAAAAGACACAAATGTTTGATCTGTTGGTAACTCAAAGCCCCAAAGATATCTATTATTGAATGAGTCAGTTATTACAGTTAGACACAAAACTTTTTAACACATGAAAAACAAAACAAGACTTAAAATGAAAATTAATGAAAAGAAAGAATACTAAGAAATACTAAGAAAATACTAAGAAAAATACTATAAGGCAGGGAGACTAAAGGAGAAGGCTGTTCCAAATGGAACATTCATGGTGAATAGGAATGCCAACCACCAAACTAGACCTTTCAGATCCAAAACAAATTGCTGAGAAGCTTCCAGTAACTGGAGAGGGAGATGGAGGAGTTTACCCATTATTAGAAGTCTGTTCCAAATAAAGGCTTAAAAATTATAATTTTGAACAAAGTTCTAAAAATGAAAACCTTAAAGAAGTTTTCATAATCATTAAGAACAATCCTCAACATTTTCTAAAGTTCTTATTATGTTCTAGAATACAGTCTTGCGCTCATATTAATTCATTACATCCTCACAACAATCCTATAAGGTCATTTAATAGAAGAGATTTGGATGTTAAATAGCTTGCCTCAAATAGTGACACTGATTTTGAACTATACTACCTGTCCCAGATAGTTCCTGGGAAATTAGTGCATTACTAATATCTTAAATTCTTTATTGAAGTAAGAGCAGCACTACTTTCATCTGCATACCTATGGGTCCATACTATTTTAACACATGAAGAATGTGGCATTATAATCCAAACTGGTCTGCAACAAGGAAGTATGAAAATGAGACAAAGCCTTCAAAAAATTTTATAGAATATGAATATTACAATTATAGGAGTAACAGACATAGAGGAGTATGTCTATTGAATATAATAACACTACATTTGGGCTTATATTTTGTATGTCTTTTTTTCCATTTCATTTTCTTAGTATTTAATTTTTATAAATATATTGGTCTGCAATGGAATGGAAATTAAACAAAAACAAGAAGTGGTCATTTACCAGATAGTTGGAGGAGCAGGCTCACAAAGTACTGGACAGGTGGCCCAAGTAAGTGAGGTAGGCTTCACAGTCAAGGAGGACTGTGACAAGCTACGGCTAGTCAGCTCTAGCCAACTGTTGCCTTGAGAAAATACAGACAAAAATCAATAACAATAATAAAAATACTCTGCTATCTAACAAAGTAAGTCTGTGGGCTAGTTTTGGTATGACTACCAGTTTGCTCTTTCATGAAGCTATTTCAGGACTGGCGGTGAAACTGGGCCTATTTTACTGCTGAACCCCAAGATACTCATGAAATCCTGTTCCCTCCAAATGTAGTAGTTTTTCTCCCTAAATCTTTTGAGCACTGTGTATGCTGTGAACTCTTTATGAAGAACTTACCTGCATTTTCACTGAACAATGCTTTCATCTTTCTTCCACTAATGTTTGTTCAAGTAATAACAAATGAACAAATTAACCAAATGTCAAAACATATTAACAAAAAATTCACTTCTAAGCAAAGATTTGAAACAACTTCAAATATCCATTCCAATGCCCTCTTTCTTTAAAAGAAAATGTGAGTTAAGAGCAATTTAATTTAGTTTTTCTCTTATCTTCATTCTAATACAAAAAATTCAAATCACCAGAAAACTTTTTTGGATTCTAATCCAAAAAACTACCTCCCCCCCCCAAAAAAAACTATGCTTCATTTTCTCAAAAAGAGGAGTTATCCTGATTTCTATGCATATTGACAAATAATATTCTCCATTTATGTTTCTTGATAGCAATCTGGAACCTCGATTCCTTGGAACCTCTGGGAATCAAAAGAATGTTATGGTGTCTCTTTCCAGGAAAAAGCACAGAGCCCTAAATTTTTGTGTGCCATTTCACAAGGTTCAGAGTACCCCAGGGTCTTGGGTGGATCCACCCACCCCAAATTAAGGACTCTAGTGCTTAAAAAGAGGTTCGTTTCTATTATGAAATGCTATACCTCTTTTTAAGATAGCCCTCCTTAGTAAGACCTTTGCTCTGAGATTAACTGGGGAAGCAGCTTCCCTTTACAACTGTCACTACTTCCTAGCAGCCATCCTGACAGCTGACAGAAAATTGAGAATTTCTTACCTCAGAGAAATTAACAGCCAAGGGAACGATTCCAGCCACGTAACATGCCACCAACATAGCCAGAGACAACAGACTAATGGAGATGAAATCATCCATTCTGTCCTCCTTTATTTACCCACCGCCAGCAGACTACAGATTTTCAGTGGCTTCGAAGGGTCCTTAGGTTCTTAAACGCGTGTGGTGTTTCCAAGAGAACAAGCGGACTTTCCAGTTCTTTCGTCCTCCCCACCAGCAGATGTGTTCACGAAACCCTTCTCTGGAACGCACCTGGAAACAGCCCCTTTTTCCTGATATTAGCACCAGACAGAACTTCCAGCAATCTCAGGTCCCGGACCCTGCGTTTTCAGATGCCAGTCACTGGATTCCCTACGGTTAACAGTTAAAGGTATGCGAAAGAGCGATTTCTTCAATGGTCGGAATGGTGGCACAATGGGCCCACTCCCTCCACAGACAACGTCCCAGGGGGCAGCAGGAAAAGGAGGAAAACCCAAGCAAACTTGTTCTTTCTCCCGGCGCCCCTATGTCCCTGGGGCAGTCCCCCCCAGGCTGGGACCAGCCCACCAGTGCCAGCCAACTCTCCGAGTCTAGAATGGGGCAAGAGTCCTGCAGGTCTCTAACGATGGGCTCAGGGGTTCAGCAGCGAAGCTGATATGAAGCTGTCTCTGCCCTATACCCGATGCTGCCCATATTACTCCACTCCGCTGGGCCTTGACCCGGAGCCACCGATACTACAGCTGCCATGGCCGCCAAGTGGCACCTCTTCATTACATCCACTTCCGGATTGCTTCACCGCCCCCTCCTTTAGAAGAATACCTCCGGGTTACAACCGACCTATGGCCCGGGAGTCTTATGCTACCGCCATTTTTGAGTAGGGCTAATGAAAGATGTCTGGTGTCAGAGTCTATACCTTTGTTCACTCTAGCCGCACGTCTAATAACGAGAGTAAGGAAGACAGTGTTTTGAGAAGAAATGGTATTTTTCAAGTTCCGCAGCAATTCCCTTTGTATGTCGTCGCCCTTATCCAAGATGGCTGAGACAGAGTCAGTATCCGCTCTAGCTGCCGGAAATGTGCGCGCCTCTATGGTCCAAAAGGCTCTTTCGCGGTGCGTTTCTGACGACTTCCGGCGGCTCCTCTCGCGGGGATTGGCTGTTGGCGGCGTTGCGGCTAAGCTCGTGTGCGGCGGCGGTGTCGGCAGCGGCTGCAGCGAGAGAGTTTGGCGCGATGGTGAGAAAGGCCTCAGCGGCTCCCCGGTCCCCCAGCCTCCGGGGCGGTCCCAGCCCTGTACATCTTTCCCCACCCCATCCAGCGCGAGCGTGCAGCTCCCCGGCCCACCAGCTTGTGGCTGGACCCTTCCCCTTCCCGCCGCCGAGACGCTTGGCCTGGCACTAGGCCCCGGCGCCCGGGTCCGCCCTACGTTTGCGCGCCCGCCTGCGGGCTCCGGCGAGGCGTGCGGTGTGGAGGATGCGCTTTCTCCCAGTTGCAGCTCGGTAGAGGCAGGCGTGGGGATGCTGCTTTTTCCCTCCAGACTCTCTGGCCCAATGTAGGAACAATGGCCGAGGGATGTCTGACAAACCTGTTACCAAAGCTGACAGATTCAGTGTACTGCACCCAGCGTGTGGGCCGGGAGGGGTCGTCTTCGCTTTGTAGTGCGCTTTCTCAACTATTCTCTTTTGTTTTGCTGTGCTCTGTCTTTAAATATACATACAACGTTTTTTCTCTTTTCCAAGACTCCAGATGCCTGATTTGGCGTTTCTCCCAGCTCTCAGTCCTGTTCGTACTCATTCTCTTGGGACTGAAAGCTGAAAAGATAGGCTCAGCTGAGAGTTCCTTAGAATCTGATCGGGGTGGTAGTGGAGTGACTGGGTATTTTGTTTGTATTTTTTATTTTATTCCACCAAAAAGGAGATGCTCCACAGGGATTATGAGGACTCATGGTTACGTCCACACTTCAGCTTTCGTTTTCTGATGGCCGCAGTTACTGTTAACAAGTTATGCAGCTGTTGTTGGGAAGGAACTTTTTGAGGTTGTACTTTCCTGAATTGAAATGTTTCAATGTTTGACCCAACATGGTTTCCCAGAGAGGACTAGGATTAGAAGACTGGGTTTCCAGTTCTTGTTTTGTCATAACTAGCAACGTGACCTTGGACAAGTCTTTGATCTCTTAGTTTCCTTCTTTGCCTTTTATGTCCCTATTTGGTATTGTGTTATAATGCTTAGATTAAAATCTGAGGAAGTGAACAGCAATTAACCCATTCTTGTTGGGCAAATATCAGTGATAATTCCTTCTCAGTCCAAGTAGCATTAAAAATTAGAATTTGTATGTAAAACAGTTATTGGTTCAATAGTCTTAAATACCTTTGCTTTATTAAAGATAAAAGTTTTAGGTGTGGGTTGTTTGGTGTTTTGTTTTGGTAGTTTGGGAGAAGCATTTGAAGCTAATGTGCAAATCATATGTATTCTGTAGCAGTAGAATGATTCTTAGAATTCGTGTGTGAGACTTATAAAAAGTAAGTCAGGATTAACTATTAAAGTGATTGACTTGTGCCTGGTAATCAGAGAGAATAAGAATTTTATTAAGGTAATTCTGCATATCTTTTCCTGATTTAGATTTTGCAATTTTTTTTTCTATTGTGAGAAATTTAAGTATATATGTATTTGTCTATATGTACTTATATTTTGCATATATATTTGTTTTTTAATAAAACCAAACAGCCTCGAAAATAGCTCCAGTAAGAAGAAGGTGATCAAAACTGATTTGGGAGGTTTTATGATCTTAAAATGTTAATAGGAAAGCACTGCCACTTAAAAATAATACTCGTTTCAATTACAGATTTGTAAATTTAGTCATTTTTTGTTCTTAGTTTTTAATCCTAATCTTTGGGTAGTAAGTATTGAAAATAGTGAGCTTTGTCAGAAGTTCATTCTAAGACTAGATATAAACAGTAGCATACTGAATAGCCATTTCCATATCTTTACTCTCTTAAGTAAATTAGTCCCTTAATTTGCATTAGAATGAGAACAAAATTAATATAGCAGCAACTGGTGTGACTAATATACAGAGCGAGCCCTACTGCAGGAATGCTAGTGTGGTTTCTATAAAATTATTTTCTTCTCAACATCTGACCCATCGAAACTTTTTTTTTTTTTGAGGAAGTGACTTAGAAAAAAATTCTGTATAACAAATAATCTAATAAAATGCTTTCTCTGGTTTATAATGCTTATTTAACAAAAGCCAATTACCCTTCATCTCTTGTCACCAGCGTCTATTTTTATCTCAAATCCTCTCAAACTTTTCATCAGAATGAGTTAGTTCTTGCTGGGGAGGGAGGAATATGAGCAATTTCTTTGCTTTTTATATAGTGTTCAGAGTACGGGGTTTTTTTGGTGCTTATTCAGAAACTCTAGGCCTCAACATTCAGTTCCAATATCTTGATGGTTGAAAAGTCTGATCATTTCAAAACAGTTTGGGGGACCTGTCATAAAGGATTTTTTAGACCCCAAAATAATAGTACAGTAAAAGAGAAGAATGAATAGTTTGAAGACTGGGTGTACAGTGAGGTTGCATCATACTTGGCATTTAATTAATTGACTTTACACACTTGGCAAAAGATTGAAGGGGCCATAATTTCGATAGGACCAATAGTTTGGAGACATTTTTCGTTGTCACAGTTTTGCCTAGGAGGAGGCAGGGGGTTCAAGTGCTACTGGTATTTAATGGGAATAGGCCAGGGATGCTTCTAAACATCCTACAGTGCACAGGACTACCTCTATAAGGAAGACCCTTCAAGCCCAAATTGTAAAAGTACAGAGATTGAGAAACTGAAATAGACCCACTAACAAAAACATGCCCCCTACTGAGCATGATGAGGTGGAAGATGTTAAGTCTATCTGCTGTTCTTCAGGCATATTCACAGTTGTCACAGTTGATCATCTATTTCGTGTGATTCTAGTGTTTAAAAATACGTGATTTTGAGATAGTATAGCCTCTTAAGGTGAGTCATCTACTGGGTGAATAGCTTAATGGTTTTTCTAGGGTAATGTTAACTATATATTAATTTTATACTGCCCATTTATCTTCTGCCTTCACGTTGGAAAAAACATAAATCAGATCCAGTACTTACAGTCATTAACGGTGTTTCTCTTTTTCTCCTTTTATCAGTCTACAGCTGAGTTTTTATTAAGGGACTTAATAGGGCTAGAGATAGAAAGTGAACGTGGAGATAGAAAACCTAAGTGGGTTTATGATCTAGTTGGGGAGAAAGATAGGAAAGAAAAAAACAGTACAATGTCGCTTATGCTGAATGCTTACAGGCAGTAAGTACAACAGTTGGAGAAAACAGCCCTTAAGGACTGGGAGACCTGGGGCACCTGGGTGGCTCAGTTGGTTGGATGGCCGTCTTCGGCTTAGGTCATGCGATCGAGCCCCATGTCGGACTCCCTGCTCAGTGGGGAGTCTGCTTCTCCCTCTCCCTCTCCCTCTGCTTGTGCTCTCATAAACCCACTTAGGTTTTCTGTCTCCACTGGTCACTTTCTATCTCCAGCCCTATTAAGTCCCTTGATAAAAACTCAGATGTAGACTGATAAAAGGAGAAAAAGGGAAACACTATTAATGACTGTAAGCACTGGATCCGATTTATGTTTTTTCCAACCTTAGCACAACTGTGGAGTCACATCTACATACATACTTACGTTTCTCACAAAATATAATATGATCTAGTTGGGGAGAAAGGAAAGAAAAAAAAAAAAAAACAGTACAAGGTAGCTTATGCTGATTGCTTACAGGCAGTATGTACAACAGTTGGAGAAAACAGGCCTTAAGGACTGGGAGACCTGGGGTGCCGGGGTGGCTCGGTTGGTTGGGTGGCTGTCTTCGGCCTTAGGTCATGAGATCGAGCCCCATGTCGGGCTCCCTGCTCAGTGGGGAGTCTGCTTCTCCCTCTCCCTGTACTGCTCCCCCTGCTTGTGCGCTCTCTCGTGCCCTCTCTCTCTCAAGTAAATAAATAAAAATCTTAAAAAAAAAAAAAGGACTGGGAGTCCTTACAGAGAAGCTATCAGTCCACCTTCTGACACCACGCTTACACAAAGGCTTAAATGTAGGACAGGCACCCTAATAGTGTTTTAATAACCAATCATTGTGTCATGACTGGGGATTTTATATCATACTATGACTTTCCCAAATATGAATTAGAAACTTACGTTGAAATCACTTTTCCCCCTGCAGTCTCACACCATTTTGCTGGTACAGCCTACCAAGAGGCCAGAAGGCAGAACTTACGCTGACTATGAATCTGTGAATGAATGCATGGAAGGTGAGTTTAAACACTAATCAAAAGTTTTTACTTTTGTTTTCCTAACCTTCACTATTAGAACATGTCTCATTTAGGAACTGGACTTGTTTTTCCTCCAGATTTCTTGAATTATTAATTTGAACAGGGAAGGAGGATATTAAGGACCATATTTGTTGAATATTGAAACATTGATTATATATATTATCTTTCTGCTGCAGATATTTTTTTTTCCAGCTCATGATTACAATGAATGACTTTCTGAAGCCTCCCTTTGTTATGTTGATACTCCAGTATTTGTTGTGATACGTAAATATCTTAACAGTTATTCCTTACGTATTCTGGTTAAACTCAAGCACTATAGAGTTGTTAAGACAGGCTCTAGGGATACCTTCAGAACCTATTAGTCTGCTCATTGAACAAATAAACATTAAAAGCTGTTGAGGTTTGGTTACATTCCATCAGAGTGTTAGAAAATAAAAGTTAGCTCAGAGAATAAAGGCAAATTGAACCAAATAAGTATAATTTATTATGCATTTGGTAAGCTGACACCACCCTGAAGGAAACTATTAGCCCTTAATGTTTCTTTACTCAGTAAACCATTAGATGAGAGCCCATAGATTGGATCATCACAAATTGGATTCATCCTTACATTTAATCATTATATCAAGTAAACCAGTTGTGCACATTCTGTACCCTTTTTAGCAAATTGTCCATTCTTCACTTCTTCCTATAAAGATTTTATATTCACTGTTTTTGCTGCTGGGCATGTCTCTCAATTTGTTGATTATCCAAAGCTAACTGGGTAAGCCTTAAAATCTGTCCTTGTAAAGCCAACAGTGGGTAGATCTCTGGGAAAAAACTAGTAATAACTAGAGACATCTAGGTTAAGTTGGCACCATGCCTTCCTGATTGCAGATTCTCTTTAATTTTAAAAGAAGAGCAGCTCTTGTTCTTCCCTCATTTCAGGACCCTTCCTCTGCTGACCATTATGGTAGACTTTGTGCACGTGCTGCCTTGGCACGTTAGTGCCTTATCTGTATTACTATGTTTGGTCTTTGATTCTGCAGGTACTCTGCCAACCTCTGTTGATTTTAGTGAAGCCTAACTTTTTCTTTTTAATTAATACACTTTATTTCTAGAGCAGTTTAAGGTTCCCTTGTACTCCCTTTCCCCACCTCCACAGTTTCCCCCATTAATAACACCTTACATTGGTGTGGTACGTTTGTAGCTGATGAACCCAATATTTTTTTTAAGAATTATTTGAGAGAGAGAGTGCACATAAGCACAAGCCGGGGGTGGGGGGGGGGGTGGGCGGAGGGGAGGCAGAGGGAGAAGCGGACTACTTGCTGAGAAGGGAGCTGGACACAGGGCTTGATCCCAGGACCCTGAGATCATGACCTGAGCCAAAGACAGATGCTTAACCAACTGAGCCACCCAGGCACCCCAATGAACCCAGTATTGATACATTGATACATTATTATTAACTAAAGTCTACTATTAATTGAAGTCTTATTATTAACCTAAAGCTCATTCTTCGTGTTGTACAGTTCTGTGGGTTTTACCAAATGCATAACATCATATATCCATTGGTACAGTATCATACAGAACAATTTTCACTTACCTAAAAATTCCTGTGCTCCACCTGTCATTCCTCCTCCCCACTTCACCCTTTGCCTCCTGACAACTATTGGTCTTACTGTCCCCTCCATAGTTTGCCTTTTCCAAAATGTCATAGAGTTGGAATCATTACCATATGTCGCCCTTTCAGACTGGCTGGTTTCACTCAGCAGTATGCATTTGAGGTTCTTCCATGTCTTTTTAAATTAATAGATTTAGTTTTTTTTTAGAGTAGTTGTAGGTTTACAGGAAAATTGACTAACAAGTACAGAGAATTCTATCACACCCCTTCTTCTCTACCCTCTCCTTCCAGTTTCCCCTTCTACTTAACATCCTGTATTAGTGTGATACATTAGTTACCATTGTAGAACCAGTACTGATACATTATTGACTAAAGGCCATAGTTTACATTAGTGTTCAGTCTTTGCTTTGGACATTTTATGGGTTTGGGCTTATGTAGCGACAGGTATCTACCATTTACTGCCCTAAAAATCTAGTGCTTCACCTGTTCCTCCCTCCAAACCTCTGGCAACCACTTACCGTTTTAATGTCTCCATAGCATCACCTTTTTCAAAATGTCAGGTAATTGAAATTATACAGTATATAGCTTTTTCAGGTTGGCTCTTTCACAGAACAGTGGGGTTTTTTGTTTGTTTTTAAAGATTTTACTTATTTATTTGTTAGCATACAAGCAGGGGGAGGGGCAGAGGGAGAGAGACAAGCAGACTCCCCGCTGAGCAGGGATCCCAGGACCGACCCTGAGATCCTTATCTGAGCCCAAGTCAGACGTTTAATGAATTGAGCCACCCAGGCGCCCCCAAAGAGTGTGCTTTTAAGATTCTTCAGTACCTTTTCATGGCCTAATAGCTCATGTCTTTTTATTGCTGAATAATCTGTCATTTGGGTATACCACAGTTTGGTTTTCCATTCACCTACTGAAGGACATCATAATTGCTTCCGGGTATTGGTAGTTATGATACAGCTGCTGCAAACATTCGAGTGCAGGTTTCTGTGTGTACCTAAGTTTTCAACCCCTTGGGGTAAACTAAGGAATGTGATTGTTGCATCATATGGTAAGATTGTGTTTAGCTTTGTACAAAGCTGACAAACTATCTTGAGATGTCGCTGCACCATTTTGCATTCTCACCAGCAGTGAATGAGAATTCCTCTTGCTCCACATCCTTCGCAGCATTTGGTGCTGTCAGTGTTTTGGATTTCTGTCATTCTAATAGGTATATGGCGATATCTTGTTTTAATTTGTAGTTTTCTTTGCATCATGCTTACTTGCCATCTGTATATCTTCCTTGGTGAGGTATCTTTTCAGATCCCTTGCCTACTTTTTAATTGAGGTGTTTACTTTTTTTTTTAAAGATTTTATTTATTTATTTGAGAGAGAAAGAATGAGACAGAAAGAGCACGAGAGGGGGGAGGGTCAGAGGGAGAAGCAGACTCCCCGCGGAGCAGGGAGCCCGATGTGGGACTCGATCCCAGGACTCCAGGATCACGACCTGAACTGAAGGCAGTCGCTTAACCAACTGAGCCACCCAGGCACCCGGGTGTTTACTTTTTTTAATTATTGAGTTTTAGGAGTTCTTTTTTTGGATGCTAGTCCTTTATCAAGATGTATGTTTTGCAAAGATTTTCTCCCAGTCTGTGGCTTATCTTTTCACTTTCTTGATAGTGCCCTTTGAAGCACAAAAGTTTTAAATTTTGATGAACTCCAATTTATTTTTTATTTTTTATTTTTTTAAAGATTTTATTTATTTATTCATGAGAGATAGAGAGGCAGAGGCAGAGGGAGAAGCAGGCTCCCCGCGGAGCAGGGAGCCCGATGCGGGACTCGATCCCAGGACCCTGGGATCATGACCTGAGCTGAAGGCAGACGCTTAACCGACTGAGCCACCCAGGCGTCCCCTGCAATTTATTTTTTTCCTCTCATGGTTTTGGTGCCATATCTGAGATTCCATCGCCTTGTTCAAAGTCATGAAAATCTGTGCCTGTATTTTCTTCCAAGTGTGTTATAGTTTGGGCTCTTACATTTAGGTCTCTGGGCCATTTATGATGTGAAGTGTGGGCCCAACTTTATTCTTTTGCATGTGACTCTCCAGTTGTCCTACCACCATTTGTTGAAAAGACTGTTCTTTCGTTATCAAGTTTTGTCTTTGTATCCTGGTCAAAAAACAATTGACCATAAATGTGAGGGTTTATTTGTGGACCTCTTTTCTATTCCATTGATCTGTATGCCCATGCTTATGTATAAGCAGTACCATACTGTCGTTGTTAGTGTAGTTTCATAGTAAGTTTTGGAATTGGTAAGTGTGAGTCTTCCCAGCTTTGTTCTTTTTCTAGATCTTTTGGGTTATCCTGGGCCTCTTGTATTTTCATATCAAATTTAAGACCAGCTTGTCAATTTCTGCAAAACTAGGTTGGATTTTGATAGGGATTACATTGAATTTATAGATCATTTTGGGGGTCATTACCATCTTTTTTTTTATATATATATATTTATTTGAGAGAAAGCATGAGCAGGGGGAGCCTGATGAGGGGCTCAGATCTCAGGACTCTGAGATATGACCTAAGCTGAAATCAGGAGTTGGATGCTTAACTGACTGAGCCATCCGGGTGTCCCTGGGGAGCATTACCATCTTAATATTAAGTCTCCTGATCCATGAACATGAGATCTTCCATTTATTTAAATCTTTAAGTGACATTTTGTAGCTTTCAATGTACATTCTGTGCTTTTTATTATTAAATTTATTCCTGAGAATTTTATTTTTTGATGCTGTTGTACATGGAGCTGTTTTCTTAATTTCAGATCATTTATTGTTGGGGTATAGAAATACAGTTGAATTTTGTATATTAGCTCATATACTGCAGTTCTGCTGTATTCGTTTATTAGTTCTAATGGTTTTGCGCGTGTGCACACGTGTGTGTGTGGTTTCCTTAGGATGTTGTGTATACAAGATCGTGTCCTCTGTGAAGAGAGAAGTTACACTTCTTTTTTTCCAATCTGAATGCCTGCTGTTTCTTTTTCTTGTCAAGTCACCCTGGCCAGAACCTCCAGTACAATGTTGACTACAAATGACAGAGTAGATATGCTAGTGTTCTTTCTAATCTGAGTGGGAAAGTATCGAGTCTTTCACCATTAAATATCATGGTAGCAATGGGTCAGTGCCTTTCTGAGATACATGGTGAATTCATTTTCCTGGTTTTTATTTCCTTTCTACTTTGACCTTTCGGTTCAGTAACTCACGAGTGGTACTCTGTGATCATGTGGTGTACCAGTATCAGTCAAAAACCCTAACTCAGAGAGCTTTTCATAGATCTGTCATTGAATATTACTTAGTGGTTTTTTGGGGGTTTTTTTCCTATTGGGAGATTTACAAAGTCAATTTAGAGGTACATGAAGGACCTGAGTGTAGAGGATAGGACATGTTTTCCCAGATGACATTTATTTGCTTGTTCATTCAACATAGTATTAAAAGCATTTGATAGTGGGAATGGACAGAAAAGGTTATGTTTCCATTGTGTGGGAACAACAGGAGTATGTCACTGAATAAAAATTAAATGTGCTCTTTAGATGATTATGTTAATGTGTGCTTGCTCTCAGTGATTTTGTTCATTGTCTTTGTATGACTTATATTTGAGTACCTACGTGCTCTTACATGTGCTAATGCTTTTACATGCATCATTTTGCATAACCTTCACCATAGCTCCATCGAGAATATTGTCGTTCTCACCATTTGACAAGTAGTTCTGGGGATGGAGTCGTTAGTAAAGGACAGAACTAGAATTCAAGTCTCTGAATCCAGAGTCCAGTCTTTTAAAGTACTCATGACAATCTCTTTCTCGGTGCCAGTTTTGTCTTTGTTTGTTTTTTGCATTGTATCAAAATTTGAAAGCAGGATAGAAAGGCCTCTATTTGTCATCCATCATTCCCAAATGCGGTGTTTTTCTTTATTCTGAGGCTTTAGGAATATTGTTTATTGAAAAACCTGATAAGACTCACACTGTCATCACTTGTTTGAACTCTCATATGCCAAGTCTTTAAAGTTCTTTTAGACCTAGTGGCTTGAAGTAATCATTTTATTTTATTTTTAAGGCATAAAATACTTAACATTCTGGCGAATATATAAAATTAAAAGAAATTTGCTAGTGACAAACGTTAAAACAAAAGTGACCAACTTACTCTTCTTTTCCCAGCCCAACTTTATAAAAATAAATATTAAGGGGGTGCCTGACTGGCTCAGTCAGTGGAGCATGTGACTCTCAATCTCAGGGTTGTAGGCTCAAGCCCCACGTTGGGTGCAGAGATTACTTTAAAAAATTAAATCCTTAAAAAAAGTTAAAATACTATGGTATTGCTATATATATGTTATATATATGCTATCCATATCTAAAGTTTATACAATTGTAAGATCTTGGTTTTTCTCCTCTCTTAGGTGTTTGTAAAATGTATGAAGAACATCTGAAGAGAATGAATCCCAACAGCCCCTCTATCACATATGATATCAGTCAGTTGTTTGATTTTATTGACGATCTGGCAGACCTCAGTTGCCTTGTGTAAGTATTAGCCACCATATCTCTTAAGGTGTATTTTTCTGTTGTATATCCAGCTGTTTGAGGTGATTTATGGTATTCTGAGCTCACTATAGGCCTCACACTGATCTTTGCATTTTGACTACTATATAGTAATATTTCATCTACATATGGCTCATAAATTAATTTGGCAACATAAAGCTAATGGCACAGGAAAAGCTTGAAAATTTTGCTAATTGATGGAAGTTAGTATGCAGAGAGAATGCTGAGAAGTTCAAAGTCCTGATCTTGGTTTCTTAAACCAAAGTCGTTTGGGGGTGGGGGGTGTTTTTTGTTTTGTTTTTTAGGTTTTTTCCCCCTCAAAGTCTTTGTCCTAAAGCAGTTGGCTTTGTGTTAAAACTAAGATGATTCTGTTTTCATGACAAAGGAAAATGAGAGTACCTTATAATGAGATGATCTTCAATAATCAGGTGCTTGAATCTTACATGGCAGATACTGTCATAGAAGTAAATATGTTTTTGAAAAATATATACGTCCTGGGCGCCTGGGTGGCTCAGTTGGTTAAGCGACTGCCTTCGGCTCAGGTCATGATCCTGGAGTCCCGGGATCGAGTCCCGCATCGGGCTCCCTGCTCGGCAGGGAGTCTGCTTCTCCCTCTGACCCTCCTCCCTCTCATGCTCTCTGTCTCTCATTCTCTCTGTCTCAAATAAATAAATAAATCTTTTAAAAAAAAAAGAAAAATATATACGTCCTACTCACAGGCACTTCCTGTGACTCCTGGATTATGACTGGGGCCAGGCCAGGACTTGCTGTTTCACCAAAGTGAAAACTTGTATTTTGTTGGAATATTTTGAGTTTTACTTAACTAACTCAAAACATTCCAGTGATTTAGGTCTAGTCTTTATTTATTTTTTAAGATTTTTTATTTATTTATTTGACAGAAAGAGAGAGACAGTGAGAGAGGGAACACAAGCAGGGGGAGTGGGAGAGGGGGAAGCAGGCTTCCCGCTGAGCAGGGAGCCTGATGCGGGACTTAATCCCAGAACCCTGGGATCATGAACTGAGCTGAAGGGAGACGCTTAACAACGGAACCACCCAGGTACCCCAGGTCTGGTCTTTAATGAAATATATTAAGAAGAAGAAGAAAGGTTTTTTTGGGTTTTGGTTTTTTTTTTTAAGGGTTTTTGTTTGTTTTTAAAGATTTTATTTGAGAGAGCCTACGTGAGAGCATGACTGGGGGAGAGGGGCAGAGGGAAAGGGTCAAGCAGACACCCCACTGAGCACGGAGCCCTACATAGGACTCAATCCCAGGACCCTGAGATCATGACCTGAGCCGAAGTCAGATGCTTAACTGACTGAGCTACCCAGGCGCCCCCAATATGAAAGTTTTGTTGGGGCTCCTGGGTGACTTAGTCAGTTAAGCATCTGACTCTTGATTTCGTCTCAGGTCATGATCTCAGGGTCTTGGGATTGAGCCCTGCATTGAGCTCTGTGCTTAGTGTGGAGGCTGCTTGTTCCTCTCCTTCTGCTTCTCCCCCCGACCTTATGCACTTCCCCCGCCCCAAATAAATAAATCTTAAATGCGTCTGTCCCACCCTGATACAGTTCTTAAAAATTGTTCTTTTTTTAGTTCTTCTCCAGTGTTGATATAAATATTGTAGACTATTGAACCATTTCTGAAGCAGACTAGATTAACCCTTATTTAATTAGGAGGCACTAATAGGGCGCCTGGGTGGCTCAGTCTTTAAGCTGATCCCAGGGTCCTGGGATCGAGCCCCTCATCGGGCTCCCTGCTCAGCAGGGAGCCTGCTTCTCCCTCTCCCTCTGCCTGCCGCCCGCCCAGCTTGTGCATTCTCTGTCTCTGACAAATAAATAAAATCTTAAGAAAAAATCAGTATCTACCTGCAGGGTTGTAATAAGGATTAAGTGAGTTGATTCAGATAAGTACTAATTGATAAATTAGATAATTTTGTTTTTCTAAAGTATCTTTTAGGTTGGGTTTTTTTTATTATTTTTTTAGGCAAAGTGTATCTTTATCTCTCTTGGATGCCATGTAGTGCTTCTACCACATGGTGCACATGGCTTTGAAACACTGAAGTGATTTTTATTTGTGCAATCTCTGGTTACTTATTGTCTGCTTTTTTATACTCTAGCCTTAGTTTTTTACCCCAAAAATTATTTATTGCTTAACCAATGAGATTTCAGTGGTAGGTCACTATTTGAGTCTTCTAAAGATATCTTGAGTGGTTGGCTATTTGGTGATACCTTGGCCTCAGAACGCCTGGAGTCCTACTGGAGTCTCATTGCTAATGCCGCAGGTTTACTTTACTTACTTACTTTACTTACTCTCCTGACCCTCCTCTTCTGATTAGAGCCATTTTGAAGCTTATGTCTTCCATTAATTCTCTACCAGCCTCTAGCGTGATTTATTTTAAGAAGCAAATCCTGGGGCACCTGGGTGGCTCAGTCAGTTGAGCATCTGCCTTCAGCTCAGGTCATGATCCCAGGGTCCTGGCATCGAGTCCCACGTTGGGCTCCGTACTCAGTGGAGAGTCTGCTTCTCCTCCCTCCGCCCCTCCCCTTGCTCGCACACTCAAGCATGCTCACTTGCTCTCAAATAAAATCCAAAAAAAAAGCAAATCTTGAAATATAGGTTAAAAGATTTCCCTTAACACTTTACAGGGAGGAAATCTTTGTAGTAACATGTTTTTTAAAGATTTTTTAGTTAATTCTAAATAAATTTAGCAAATCTCAAGTTTGTACCAGTGTTTGGTTTTTATATTTTAATTACTAAAGAAACCATAAAAGTTGTTAACTAGATAGAACACACGGTTTCTAATCATACTTTGTCAAGAAGTAGATGTGTAACACGTTGAGCATTTTACTTAAGATTTCTAGATCTTGGTTTCTTTTTCTGCTCTAAGATTGTACTTGGTGGTCTAAAGTTCCTATGGCTTAAAATTCAGTAATGGAAGCAGCTCTTTTATGTTTTCTTTAAGTTCATGTATAAACATGCACACCTGTGCCATCATTGGGCAGTTATAATTTAGGGTTTTAAAAACGACAGTAACTGACCATTATAACTTTGCTTCTGCCTTTCTGTTCCTCAGTTACCGAGCTGATACCCAGACATACCAGCCCTATAACAAAGACTGGATTAAAGAGAAGATCTACGTGCTCCTTCGTCGGCAGGCCCAACAGGCCGGGAAATAGTTGAGTTAGAAGCAGTAGGGGGATGGGGGTGGGCTTGGAACACAAGTGTGTACAGCGTGCTGTAGTGGAAGTTCTGTGTCATAGTAATCCTGTTTCCATTTTGGTATACTCTAGCTAGGATTGAATGTATTAGATGAAATGTGAGGATCTTGTTCAATCTGAAACCCCCATTGCCCCCTTCCCCTCCCTTTTTTTTTTACTTAAACATTTTTATGATAATTTAGATGGAAGTTGTTTGTCAGTTAATCTTGGTTCCAGTCCTTCAAACTGTTCATATCTGCTTTATAACATCCACTGTACTAACCCTTCTTCAGGTTGGGGTAGAGGGGTAGTGACAGTTTAGTTACATGCTCAAGATAAAGTCTTAGTGAAAAATGAATAAATGTTCTTTAGTTATATTTTCCCCTTGAGTGATTTTTTTTTCTTGGTCTCCGAACATTGAAGTTTCTTACAGAGCATTATCAGTTTCAAAACCTATAGGCTGCCACACAAAGAAGTTGAAGAAAGCTTATGTATGTGTTGAATACATTTCACTGTGGTTTAGGTGAAGCTAACAAGCTTTTACCTCCTTTTTCCAGCCTTGTAAGTAAATCTTGATTGTGGCTCCCAAGGTTTGTACTTGCTATTGATGCAAACATTATGAAAGATTTTTCTGGTGATCTAGCTTGTCTGCAGCAGCCAGGTTAGGTCCTTAGTTTTGGTCATGGACTCTTTCTGGGAGGCTCTTGTGCCCTTCTCATAGCCTTCAGCAGTTGAACACTGTTTACCACTTCTGTATGAAAGCTGTAAGGGTAATGGAAAGACCACAGAAAAGGACAAGATCATGTTGCTTTTGATGGAAAGAGTGTTGATCACGTGACTCGAACATACACTGTACTGTACCGCCAGTCATCCAAGGGTGCAAACATTCCCTGATTCTGCTTCTCTCACACTTCACCAACAGCCAGTATCTTTACACACTGTAAGATGGGCATTTTTTTTGGAGGCTTTGTGACCGGCCTTCCCCATGTCCTCATTAGAGCCTTAACCATTTTTCCTATTTTATACAGAATGAAATTCTGAGTTGCTAGTTGTATGTGCTCACTTTTACTGTAGAATAGTTATTCTGTTAATGAAATGTCATCACAGTATCAAAGGATCATTAAAATTAGAGTGCCTTGGGGCGCCTGGGTGGCTCAGTCGGTTAAGTGTCTGCCTTTGCCTCAGATCATGATGCTGGGGTCCTGGGATCAAGCCCTGCATCGGGCTCCCTGTTCAGCTTCTCCCTCTCCCTCTACTCCTCCTCTCTGCTTGTGCTCTCTCAAATAAAATCTTTTAAGAAATAAAATTAAGATGCCTTACTAAGTTACGTATAGCTATGGTTAATATTTCACTGTGAGTCAGCCAGATTTTAAAGCTAAAATGTTCCCAGTGAAAAAGGAATAGATCCAAAAGTCAGTCAGATTGTCTTGCTTTTCATTTGGTCTGTCTTGCCAATACAGTTTTATTTCTGTAACAGATGTGATCTTGGCTTCATTTTTTGAAAAATACTCAAGCACGTCTGGAGGGAATGGGACCCCTTGATACTCAAAATACAGTTTCTAATGTTAGGTTTAGAGAGGAAAATATGATTTTCTAAGGAAAGTGGAGAACATCTGGGTCCTAGATGTTGGGTGATGAGCGCAAAGGGAAAGGGAGCAGTATTTCAGATCATATTTTATAAGGCTTAAGGAAGACTAGGACTGGAATAAATGTGGACATATATATACATTTATGTCCAGCATCACAAAGAAAAGGAGCAGAAGTAGCCTTTCATCGTGGAGGTGAAGTCTGATAAAACCTTCAGTGGTTTGGCCAAAGCTATAACCACCATTCCCCTGTTGTTGAAGAGTTGGTATATTGATTGTGTGGCCTTTCCCGAACCACAAGTAAAACAGGTCTGATTTCTGTTCATACACATATTTTACACTGCTACCTACAAGTGAAACCTACAGACAAATTACAAAATTCTTGGTTCTCATCTATCTTATTTATATACCTGAGCATATAAGATATTTCTTGACAATGTTCCTTCTCAGCATTTGATCTAAGAGGTTACAGGAGTATAAAAGGGGGATTTTTAACTGTGTCACTTCACTGGCAGTTCTTGGGCTTAAAATATTTGCAGCACCTTGCTAAACACCTTGGGCATTGTTTGGACAAGTTACCTATCTTATTCCTGTTGTTGCATGGGGAATGCTGGGGGCCTGTTTTCCTTCCAGCAGCAGACCAGACAGGGTTAGAAAGAGGGCAGGGCAGTTCTTAGGATGACCTCAGCTTCATATCAGTTTGGCCTTTCCTTTATCAAATTTGTTTTTACTAATTTTTCAAAGATCAGAATGAAAATTGGCAAAAATAAATGAACTGTTTAATCAATTTTATTACATTTGTACAGATATATTTAGAAGAAAGACGATTAATTTGTGTGTTGGCATAAAGCTCCTAATATTACTACTTAGGCATAGCATTTCCTGCTTAGGAAACATTTACATATATCTTATTTAATCCACACAGCGGCCCTTTGAGGTTGGAAACCGTTGTTCCTCTGTTAATGGTGAGGAAATAGGCTCGGATTGTTCAAGTCCCTCACCCAGATCACACAGCATAACCACAAAGATTTTACTAGCTGAAAAAGACATGGTCTTAACCTCAGAGCTTGAGAGTAGGTAGCTCCCACAAAATGAATAGCTGTGAGCTAAATAATGGATCTCTGGTGGGTGCCTAGCAAAGGAAGCTTTTTAGATCCATAAGACCTAAATAGGTCTCATTTGTCACCAGTTTAATCAAAAGCATAGAGGACACAAAACAGCTTGCTAGCCCAGCATTATGGAGTGTTTCTCTTCCATTGGAGTGGTCCTCATGGCAGTTCACACAGTAATCCAAGAAGTATTCTCTGCACACACAGACAGATGATAGCTCAGGTGCAAGAGCTACGCTGACCTAGAAGCCCTGTGTACAACAGGAGCCGCGATCTCTTGTTATAACTCCATAGACTTAGTTTCTAGGTCACCAAGAGACCTTTCCCAGTTATAAGTCATTGCATTAGGAGAAGCACAAAGTTCGACCTTCCCACCAGGAATTTGTAGTTTTCACCTACTCGAAGTATAAATGATCAGAGGTCATTTTACCTCTGATCAACAATCTTGTCTAGTAATATTTTTTCTCAAGAACAGAGCCAGAACGTTAACCCAAGGTCAAATTTGGCCGTAGAGCAGTTTTGCTAATCCTTCATCCACAGATACTTAAGGGTGAGATGGCACATCTAGCTTACTTTCATGTGGGAGGTAACATTTGAGCCTTGAAAAGTGGCTAAACTTGGAACATAGGAAAATGGGACAGGAGAATAACAAGGTAGCAAACACTGTAATGTTTGAGGGGCAGCAAGGAAGCCATCATGGCCAGAGTAAAGTGAGTATTTAGGGGAGTGGTGGTGTAAAGGCCAGGAAAGCTAGTAGTGGGACGCCTGGAACATGAAGCTACAGAGTTTAACTTCGTAGGCTGTGAATAACCTTTAAAGATTTTTAAGGCAAACCTGTCAAATCAGCTTTAGGAGGATGAAATTCACTGCTCTGTGTAGATGAGATTGGAAAACTAGAGAATTTAATGTCCCAGAAGCCAAAGCAAGAGAATTTTTCAGTGAGACAGGTAAGATGAGGAAATGTAAAAAAGCTTTGGATTTGGAATTTAGGCAGTTTTTTCAGGAGTGTAACATGAAGACAAAAACCAATTTGCAGGTGAAGAGCCCGCCCAGGAAATAGTGAAGAATAGGCAGGGAAGGCAAAGTTCACTGGGAACTTGAAAGAAGGAAGTGGGAATATGGAATGATGAGTTGGAACGACAGATTTTTTTTTTTTTAAAGGCAATTTGTCCTTGTATATAAGTAATGTAAGTAGAGGAAGAATCTAAGATTTTAAAAATTTATTATAATATATACATAATGATAGGTAACAAGCATGACATAGAAAGGCTAACTTTGAAACTAATGTAACATTGTATGGCCATTATACTTCCAAAAAACAGCCGAGCTCCAGGCTACACACAAAGGCAAGTGAGTGATGGGCTAAGACATAAGAAGGGGCTGAGAGACTGAAATCATGAAGACATTCGGTAGAGAAGTTAGAAGAGGCTAGATGATGATCTGAGGGGAATTTCAGCGATAGAAACCTGAGAGAGGGGATAATTTCTTAGTGATTCACTTTCCTGTCTCCTGCACTACATAGTTCTCTACTTGGAAACCTGATCTAAGAAAGCTATCTTTGAAGACAGTAGTAGTCCTTTCAGCTACATTTAGAGATCCTGTGTCAACTTATCTAGCACACTTCTTTTTTTTTTTTTAAAGATTTTATTTATTTATTTGACAGAGAGAGACGCAGCGAGAGAGGGAACACAAGCAGGGGGGAGAGGCAGGCTTCCGGCTGAGCAGGGAGCCCGATGTGGGGCTCGATCCCAGAACTCCGGGATCGTGACCTGAGCCGAAGGCAGACACCCAACAACTGAGCCACTCAGGTGCCCCCACACTTCTTTCTTTTTTACAATTACATGCTTTAACTAGATATTCAATTTGAGGCATGCTGTAAAGAGCTTGGCTTAAAAGCCTCTTCTGTGCCAAAGGTAATTTTCTTTATGCTTTTCAAGAGAGTGGGGAGAAGGCTAATGAGGACTGATGGTATCACTTAACTGAGACAGGCCCTATGTCTTTGTCAACAGATGTTTGAGTTTAAGGTCTTCAGACTGTAAGAGAAATGGGATAGATCATGGTTTTATCCTTGGAAGCCTGAGGTTGGATGGGTTGCCATGGTAATGCTAACTCTAACTCACTTACTGGCATTTGTTGTGGATTGCCTACTCTGTTCCAGGAACCCCCAGGCTCGGCCAATTATATTGCCCCTCTAGTCTTTGAGAAAAAAGGAGTATGTTTGAGTCTTAGTACCTGCTCCAGGGTGAACAATTTGAGAAGCATCTAACAATGCTGGGCCACTTCTCCCCAGTGGCCCTGGACATTCCAGAGATTGCTCTGTCTTTTGACACTGAAAGTGAGCCCAGATGCATGTTCAAGCATGGTTACTCACTTCCTTTCACAGGTAATGCAATTCCAGGAAGGATTACCATAAGGCCCTTCCAGTTTTTAAGCAAGTCCCAATAGGAGGCTGCAGTTGTGAGGGAGGGGAGTTAGCCTCATAGTCCCTTCAGAGGAGTGTTATGAAAGGATCTGAAGGTACAGGTACTGAAAGGCCACTGAGGGCAAATGCTCATTAGTATGAAGTCCTGATGCAGCTCTTAGGGATCTCTCAAGGTAGGAAGTCTTGATTCTCCAGCATTTGGTGACATCTCTGAGCCAGGTCCTCTCTGGATCTGTTCAAGTAGTTGGATTGAGGAATTATACAAACTTTTTATTTCTATAAAATGCTTAGAACTGGGGCATATGGGTGGCTCAGTCGTTAAGCCTCTGCCTTCGGCTCGGGTCATGATCCTAGGGTCCTGGAATCGAGCCCCGCATCGGGTCTCCCTGCTCTGCGGGAAGCCTGCTTCTCCCTCTCCCTCTCCCACTCCCCCTGCTTGTGTTCCCTCTCTCGCTGTGTCTCTCTCTGTCAAATAAATAAAAATAAAATAAAATAAATTTAAAAATTACTGAAGTTGCGGGGCACCTGGTTAGCTCAGTCAGTGGAGTGTGCAACTCTTGATCTCGGGGTTGTGAGTTCGAGCCCCACATTGGGCATAGAAATTACTTAAAAAATAAAATAAAATCTTCAAAAATAAAAAAATTAAAAATAAATAAATAATTTAAAAAATAAGACGAAAACAGAGGGAGACAAACGATAAGAGACTTAACTACAGAAAAGAAACAGGGTTGCTGGAGGGGAGGTGGGTGGAGGGATGGGGTAACTGGGTGATGGGCATTAAGGAGGGCACTTGAATCATTGAATTCTACCTCTGAAACTAATATACTGTATGTTCATTAAATTGAATTTAAATTTAAAAAATTTAATAAATAAAACTACTAAAGTTGCGAAGCACATGGGTGATGGTCCTAGTGTGGGCATAATTTTGTCTTGCCTTGATCCTTCACCTTCTCCTTTTTTTTCCTCATTGTTTTGCCTTTGATCCACTGTTCCTGTTAGAAATAAGGTAAAAAGGAAGGGAGGGGCGCCTGGGTGGCTCAGTCGTTAAGCATCTGCCTTCAGCTCAGGTCATGATCCCAGGGTCCTGGGATCGAGCCCCGCATCGGGCTCCCTGCTTGGTGGGAAGCCTGCTTCTCCCTCTCCCACTCCCCCTGCTTGTGTTCCCTCTCTCGCTGTGTCTCTCTCTGTCAAATAAATAAATAAAATCTTTAAAAAAAAAAAAAAAAAGGAAGGGAGTGCAGGAGCCTCCTCTTCTCACCAGTATGGATTCCATCAGCATTAAGGAATTATTGTCAAGTTTTTTAGGTTTGATAATGGTATTGTTCTTTTTTTAAGGTATCTTTTAGAGCATGTACTGAAATGTTTTCAGATAAAATGATGTAATATCTGTGATTTGTTTTGAAATAATCCAGTAGAAGTATGTAGATGAAACAAGATTAGTCATAAATTGATCATTGTTGAATCTGGGCGGTATTATTAATCCCTTTGCTTTTTTTACATGCTTGAACTTTTCCACAATGAAGAGTGAAAAACAAAAACCATTGAGAATGCAAGGACAATCCTGTCTTGCCTCCTACGCGCCGCTCTCATGCTACGGCCAGTCTGGTGGGTTCTGAGGCTGGCGAGGCGCGCTGGCCCCTCACTCCTGTCCCTCCGCGCCTCCTGTTTAGCCCTCTCCAGCCTGGAACTCTGCCCAGCTCCCTCCCCGCCGCCCAAGCCCGGCCCCCAGGAAATGCCGCATTCTCCAAGCAGGACAGATTGGGGTCACAAATGAAGCCTTCGCTCTACAGCTTGGCCACGCAGGCAGGAGGGACTCAGCGAGCCCAGCGCGGAGTGCAGCGTGGGGCTGGCTGCCTGCAACCCGTGAGCAGCAGGGGACGTTGGGAGCCACTGAAGCTGCATTTCTGACACATGCTAATGAGCTTCCTTCAGGGATGTAAACAGTCAGCACGTCAAACTAAATTCTGGGGGAATTTAACCACCTTTGCTTAGTCATCGCCCCTGTCTGCTTCTGACCGGCCCCGGAGTGCCAGCATAGAAGGGGGCGTTCCCACTCCCCATGGCTGTACAACGCCAGGTTTTAAAAAGCTGCCAACTCAGCCGGCCTCAGTGTGGGTAATTGCGTTTGACACGCCGTTCCCGTTAGAGGAAAGCAAATGTGTTTTCCGCACACCCAATTTCAAGCGGCTCGACCCATCTCCATAATCGTCCTGATTCTGGCTGGGAAGTGAGCTGTCCTTCGGGGAACCCAGGGAACTGTCAGAAGGACTCATTAGGCTGACACTTGACAGCTGATCTTGTCACGTTGACTTCCGTCCCTTCCTAATCAAGGACCAACCAGTCACCAAGGGGATTGTGATCATTGCCTATTTGCAAAACTAGGTCTTTCTCTACTGAGCCAATATGCTTTGAGTGCAGGTAGTTGTGCCGTTCAGCTGGTCACGCGGTCAGAGTTAAGGAGGCCAACAACACGAATGTTCCTCAGGTAGGTAGGTTAACTTTTCTGTTTCCTACGAGCAGGCCCTCATCTTGAAAACACCTGCCAGCCCTCCTGGCTGACCCCATCCAAAACAGCTCTTCCATCTTGCGTAGGGCAGCCGGCCAACCATGGCTTAGGCAGCAATAGAGGGCTGTATTTTATGGGGCCATAGTCCAAACCGCAGGAACGGCCAGAACACAAATGAATCTCAGGGTCAAATAAAACCAGAAATGTGGGCTGTCAGGAATGCCTACCATTTCTGATCTCTGTCCCCCGTTAGGTGTCAGCTCCATTTGTCCCAGACACCAGCTTCTTCCACTTAATGGGCAACATGGCTGTCCACAGAGTCTCTGAGCTTCACTTCAGATTCATCTTTCTGGTTGAGTTCACAAATCCCAAGGAAATGTTCTGGTTGACCCCGCATGGGTCACCTGACTGAAGGAAGAGGTGGGATCTGGGTGGTAGGCAGCCCCTGAATGACCCCCAGGGATCCGCACCTCCAGGGAGTTGTGCCCTTGTGTCAACCCTTACTCTTCAGTGAGGGCTGGACTTAGGAATGACTCTCTTCTAAAAAACAGAATACCAGGGGCGCCTGGGTGGCTCAGTCGTTAAGTGTCTGCCTTCGGCTCGGGTCATGACCCCAGGGTCCTGGGATCGAGCCCCGCATTGGGCTCCCTGCTCGGCGGGAAGCCTGCTTCTCCCTCTCCCACTCCCCCTGCTTGTGTTCCCTCTCTTGCTGTGTCTCTGTCAAATAAATAAAATAATAAAAAAATAGAATACCCGTGGCAGTGATGGCATCTCACTTCCAGTGTTCAGTTATAAAAGGGCTGTGACGTCCATCTTCGTGTTCTCTCACTCTCGTGGACCGTTCACTCTGGGGGCAGCCAGCTTGCCATGTTGTGCAAGAGGCCCCTTGTGAGTGGGCTTGGAAGCAGATAGTCTAGCCCTGGGTGAGTGTGGAGAGGATTGCAGCCCTGGCGGACACCCTGATTTCCGCCTCCTGAGCATCCCTGAGCCAGAACCATCCAGCTAAGCCATTTCTGGATCCTGCCCCACAGAACCTCTGAGAGTCTGTCAGTTGTTGTCAGTCGCTAAATGGGGAGGTCATTTGTTACACAGCAATAGATAACTAATAGGGTCTGTAACAAAACAGAAGCTTCTGGTTCACAGCATGAGGGAAGGCACATAATCCAGGAAAGGAAGGGCGGGCCTGCTGTTCCGAGTCTGTCCTCTCTCCTGCTATGGAAGAGAGGTTTTTCTATAATGAAAAATCTGATTATGTCACTTCCCTGCTTGAAATTCTTAAAGCTGTCACTCATAAAATAAAATCCAAATCTGTAGCTTGATATCCAAGGTCCCTCATGATTAGCACCTGCCCACTTGTCAGACTTGGCTCCAACCAGTCCCCCTCCCTCCTGCTCCGGCCATACTTTGTACAGCTCCACGAGTATGCCACACGATCTCTTGCATGCCTTTGCACACTCCCTTCCTTTAATGGGCATGTCTACTTCCTCAAGGCCCACGCACTTTAACCCCTAATCGTAAGTTAAGGCTCAACTCAAGCATCACCACCTCCAGGAAGCCTTCCGTGATCACCAAATCCTCTACTTATTTAGCTTCTGAGCTCTGGTAGTGTCCTCCGTCATGGCTGCTATCACACTGTGTAGAATTCCTGGTGGGATTTATCTACCTCCCTCAATAATCTCTGCTCTTTGAAGACGGAATTGAATCTTTCATATCGGAATCCTTAGTACCTTCCAAATAATTGGTTCTCAGTATGTGTTTGTTGACTAACTGGTAAATCGTTTAGCTAATCAATTGAGCAATGGCATCAAGGAGCTACTCTCACCTGCACTTGCCTATCAACACTGGTTCCTGTATAAAGGAGTGAGGGGCTTGGGGATCAACTTGTCTTTACTACCTCAGTTCAGGTTCATAGTGAATGAAATCGGCATGACCCTGGTCCATGATACCCTTATGGTGCCTACAGGCCAGACTAGACCCGAACGTGGCTACCACTGTGAAGGAAATCATTAAGGTTTCCCAAGAGAGCGCAATATTTTGAGTTACTTGAGCTTGGATGGGCAGAGGCCCCTCTAAGCCTCAGCATCTAAGCTGCGATCTGAAAGATGAGAAAGAGCAGGGGTGGGGGGGACACGTGTCATAGGCAGAGGATCCGAGGTGCAAAGGCTCTAAGCAGGAATGAGGTTAGTGCGTCTGCGGAATTCCAAGGAGACTGCCACACACACCACAGAGGGTGAGGAGCACATGAGGAGGGACAGGTAGGTGGGGGACTGTCACGGATGGAGGGGCACAGCTTGAGACCCTCGCTTACCACCAGGAACTCCAGTGGGGATGCAGCCACTCCACCCACTCATCCATTCATTTAGGCCAAGGGCCCCGCCCTGCAAAGCCCCGTGCTCCCTACTCCCTCTGCCTGAACGCTCTTCCCCAGAGAATCCTCCCACCGGCTCCCATCACTCAGGTCTTGCATCAAATGCCAACTCTTACCCCATCTAAAGGTAGCCCTTGCCTTCCTAGCAACACAATCACATAAGCCCCGTTTATTTCCTGCATTACACCTGTTAGTATCTTGGAATGATCTTGTACGTCTTTTGGTTCACTTGTTTTTCTGTCTAGAATATACACTCCATGGGATGAGGGAACGGACATGTATTGCTTCCTGCTCTATTCGCTGTGCCTAGAACCCTGCATGGTCTGTAACAGTAGATAAATATTTATTGAATTGGTTCATTCCGTTAGCCAACAGGTTTAATGTTTATCATGTGCTAGACTTAATGCCAGGGTCTACCCAGAACCCTGACTCAGGGCCGGCTTCGCAGGCAAACAACCCACGCACTGAAAGTTGTACGGGGCCCGGGGCTTTGAGGGACCCACGCTCCTGTCATCATTTTTGACATTCTTAATAATGTGCGAATGAGGTGACCCATATTTTCATTTTACACTGAACCCGCAAATTATGTAGCCAGCCCTCCCCCGGTGATAACTCCAGAAAGTTCCCCAGCACAATCAGAGTTGAAAACCGTTTAGGGACAAGCCAGTAGCCCCTGCACACTATCAAAAAACTGTAACAGGACTGTCTTATATGTTTAAAGAGATGTAAAGGGTAAGTGATTTACAGGGATCCTTAGTTTGAGAACATAATTCTAAGAGCCAGACATCCTTGGAGTCCAGGTCCTGCCATTTCCTGGCTGTGTGATCTTGAGCGACTCATAAAACATTTCCTGACCTTGGTTTCCTTGTTACAAATGGAGATGGTAATCATGTGCATCCCCCAGAGTTGGCTTGAGAATTAAACAAAATAATACTTAAAACCCTTAGGTCAAGTTGAGGGCATCCCGAAAAGCGGGTTCGATTGCTCAGCGACCTGCTCCGTTCTTTGTGCTCCCCTCCTTCGGCTCTTTCAACTCCCCCTGACACTCCTGGGTGGGAAGATCTGGGTCAATGTGAGTGGCTGCTAAGTGAGAAAGAAGAATGTTGAGGAGAAAAACCAAGGAATTATAGCCTTCAGGGAAGCAATAACATTGTACTTAAAAATTGCTTGAGCAAAGACTTTGTTGATGTTAGCAAACTATATGCAAATAAACTAAAGACCCCCTTATCCTGAGTGGAGACCTGGCCCCAGACCAAAGCTTCAGGAAGACCACAGCTTGGTACACAGAGAAGCCTTCATCCTTTCTCTCTGCTGCCAACTAAAAATAAAACCTTAGATGATCCCAAAGCTGCAGTTTTCACCGCCTTAGCCTTTGACATGTTCATTAGTACGTAAGACACTTTTCTCTGCAGGTCGGGGCACCCCCATCTGAATTTGCTGCATCATCTCTGCTGTTCCCCTTGTCCTCACACGCATGGTTCAATCAGGCACTGATTTGGCATTAACTTGCAAATGCTGGGTCTCCTGTGCCTGACGAAAAGGAATGTTCACTGGTCAGACCTCACTGATTCTTTAAAAACCCAAATCAACAGCCAGATTAGAAGAGAAAGCTGAGCACAAACTGATATGCATCCCAAACCTTGTGTTCCAAGACCAGAGCTTCCCAGCACTCAGGGAGAATAGCAGTTTTATTAGACTCCTTATTCGTTCAACACATGGTTACTGAGCACCTGGCAGGTGCTGGCACTGTACCAGGCTCCGTGGACACGTCTTTTTCTGTACGCAGTTTGCAAGCTAGTGGGAGTATAGGAAAACACAAGCCCCTCGGACACAACCCTGATTCACCACCAAAGGCCGAAGCGTGGATACTCAGGGAACCTCTAGGAAGGCTCCTGCCCCAGGGGCTAGGGGTGGGGTAGAGAATCTCAGGGACGTTCTCAGGCATGCTTGCCCAAAAATGACATCCATTTGTCCATCGCTCAGTTCCACGTCTGCCAGGACTCCTCGGTTGGCAAAGTTAACCTGTCTAACATGTATCTATCTTGAATACATTCCCCCTTTTGGAGTCCTGGGGACGCTGGGCGAGGGCTGGGGCTAAGCTTGGACTCAAGGCCTTCCCAGGGAGACGCATTTGCCTCACACACAGAGCTTCATTCATTCATTCATTCGTTGACTCATTCATTCATTCACACTTATTGACCATATTCTGTGTGGGGGTCTGGTGGTCCAGCTGTGCAAAGGCAAATGCCCCCTCAAGGAGGGTGGGCACTTGTCTGGCCACCGTGCCCTCCTTTCTTTATTCCAACCCCTCCACGACTGTCAGCCCGTTCAAACTCCCTAAGAAGTGGGTGGTGTTATCCCGGTTTTCCCAGTGAGAGGACTGAGGTTTAGACAGGGAAAGTAACTCGCCACGTGTGGTCCAGCTACTAGGAGAAACAGCCAGGCTTCAGCTCTGGTTTGGCTCCACAGCCCCTGCTCTTTATGTCCTGCCAGGCAGAGTGAACCCTGGGCCAGAGAGGGGGCTCCCAACCATGGCTTTCTCTGTGTCGTTGATAAGGATCTGTGGTATAAGGTCTCCACAATGCGGCTTGGTCATCCTCCCTGAGGCCTTCTGAGAGAGGCCTGGCTGCATCCTGTGTGTCCTCCACAGACAGAGGCGCCTGGGCTAGGACAGTCATCCCAGGCCCCAGCTCCTCTGTTCCATGGGGCAGGCCCAGTGAGCCCTACTCCATGTCAGGTGGGGGATGCGGGTGAGAGAGGGGCAGCTCTGAAGACCCCAGACAGAGCCACTTCTCCGGCCTCAACCTCCCTCCTGGCTCCCATCCTGGCTTACTCCAGTAGTCTGAAGGTTTTCAAGGCCTTCTTGTAACATCAAGTCCCCTGCTGGATCTACTTGTCTTGCTTCTCAAAGGTAAAAGCAAGTGCCACCAAAAAAGTTTTCATAGGCCGATCAGCAACCTCAGGAACAAGGTGGACTGCTGGACTCCTCACCTCTTCTTTCCTAGTCAGCTTCCCACCCCCTCTGGCCCCCATGACTGAACCCTGGTGGCTGGTGCATGTCCTTAGCATTTGGAAAATCCACAGCCTGCCCCAGGGTCGGAGAAACACTCCCTCGTAGCTCCCAGACTGCTGCACGCGCTTTCCAGTTTACAAGGCCTAAGCACAGACATTTTCTCATCTCATCTTCCCCCACGTCAGCCCCGTTTTTCAGTTGAGGACACTGAGGCTCAAGAAACTTAAGTGGCTTGCTGGAGGTCACCCAGCTCGGTTGGGCCAGAGCTGGAGCGAATGTTCTCCTACTGCAAGGCTAGAACTCTCCTCTCCACCCCTGCTGGCACCCTGCTGGCACCCGGTCAATCAGCCAAAAGTAACTGGGATGGATACATTTGCTTATAGTAAATTAAAAATCAGCCCAGCTGCTGGATGAGCATACAAAGGCCCAGGTTCCTGGTGCAAACTGTGGGTGAGCCCTTAGGCACCACGAAGCACCCTCAGCTCCCCACCACCACCCTCAAATCCCCAAGAGCCAAAGTGGCAGGCCTGCAGAAGGAGAATCCACCCGAACAAGCACAAGGCTAGTGTCCGAGGAGAAATAATGCATTTGGAAAGCAATAGCCCTGGCCGGCAAGCAGGGAGAGAGCAGACAATGCGGCAAAGCAGCCCTGAGCCCTTGCGGGCCGGGTCATGCGGACGGTCTCACCCCCCTGAGCTCCAGAGGACACCTGGCACCAGGGAGAGCCAGCAGCAATAGCTTCTGTCGCTGTGAGAGGGACCGTCACATTCTCCGGTCGACGGCATCCTGGTGCTCCCGATTCCTGCCTTTTGATGTAGGGCCCATCGGCCTCTCAGCCTTTTCTACATCTGTGGGTGATGAGTCAGCCCTGGCCACCGTAGCTTTCAGGCTTCTACGAATCAGCTGTGAAAGGGTGTGGGGTGGTGGGGGACATATCTTGGGCTCTGGACTGAGACTAAGAGCTTTGCAAAGGGCCAGTCTCCTGAAGAGTAAAATGGGGACAGAACAATACACAAGTGTTGGTGTTGGTATGAGGCTGTGAACTCATGTGAAAGGCAATAAAGCACAGTGCAGGGCATGGGGCCTGGGCCAGACTTCATGATCTCAAATCCTGGCTCAACCTCTACTGGCTTGGATAATCGTGGGCAGGTGTGTTAGCCTCTTGGGCTTCAATTTCCCAGCTCGTAAATGGGGTGATAATGAGAATACTTACCTGGCAGAGCTGCTGTGAGGATTAAAGAAGTGAAAATGTGGGAGGCTCAGCGCCTGGTGAGTATGCGATGTGAGTGGCCCTGAACGTCATCCGTCAGATGGTCCCTAAAAAGGACTGAGCCACATAACTCATGGAAAATGTCTGCCCATCCTGCAGGCTGGGGGGTGCACTGCTGATGCCTTGATTAAGGAATCTTCTGGGGTGGGAGCTCTTTTATAAGCACGTCAGCCGTCTGTGGCTGCTGTTGGGGCAGAAGCTCATAAATCACATGAAGCACGGCTGGCATGTGGCATGTGGCTCAGTGGCAAGCCTTGGCCCGGTCTCATCCCCACCCACCCTCGGCCCCAGAGAGATCCATCACAGCCCAGGGCTCGGTGGGAGGCAGCCTGCTCAGCAGAGCAAGGCCGGCTATGCCAGGTGGTGACCCATGCCCTCCAGTCAGGGGACCAGGACCCATCCTAGTCACCAAACCAGTGACTCTCAAACTCCAGGAGCATCAGAAGCCTCTAGGGGCTGGTTAAACCCAGGTAGCTGGGCCCCGCCGCCAGAGTTTCTGATTCAGTAGGTCTGAGTGGGGCCCAAGAGTTGGCATTGATAGTAGGTTCCCAGATGCTGCTGATGCTGCTGGTCTGTGGGACCACCCAACGCTCACTTCTCGGGAACCAAGTTTAAACCTCGATATTTGTCCTTGGGCAAGTCTCTTCTCCTGACTGGGCCCCTGCTTCCTCATCTGGGAAGTGGGCACACCAGAGCCTACCTCATAGGAGGTGTTGGGGATCGACACCTGTAGCAGTGTCAAGTTCTGGGTACCCAGGAAATGCTCAATCCGTGGCAGCCCTTGGCATCACCAGCGCCTCGCTGTTGAGGGCTTGGAGACAGCTAATAAGTAGGAAGGGTGGAGTTGTGAAGATATCAAGCTTATAGGGAGAAGTGACAGGAAAAATGAACAAATATGGACTGAGTGCTTCCTGTATGCATTGTCCTAATTCCTAAACGTAAAAATGCCTTGTCACTAGAACAAGATGGAACAAAATAAAACTAAAACACAGCCCAGTGAGAATCTGTGAGTTCATTCATTTGGCAAGCCAGCATTTACTGTGATTCTGAGAGCCAGGCTCCGAGCGGCGGCTGTGGGGAGCAGACATGGGTCCTGGTATCCACGAGACCCAGCCTGGCCGCAAAGAGGACACATAAGGGCTAGAGAAGACAAGTCCTTGTCACAGCATATGGAAGAAGGTGACCACTGTGGCTGGAGAGGAACATTCAAGACATTGAAGAAACAAGCTGGAGGGATGCCCTCAGACAAGTGGGAGACTGGGAACGTTTCCTTGTGGAAGCAGCCATCTGTCTGGAAAAATGGGTAGCATCAACCCATGGAGACGACAAGGTAGAGAGTGGAAGGAACAGCAAGCACAGGCAAGAGAAGGCAGAAAGCAACTTCCAGAAATGCCACAGGTGAGTGTGGCTGGAGGATGGGAGCTGAGGTTGGCCTGGCTTTCTGGTGTCTGGCAGTGGACAGCCTTGACCACTGGGGGTTTACAGGACTCCTTGAGCCAACTGTATATCCTCTGCGGTAGGTGCTCAGCACATCATCGTGGGCTCGGTGATGTTCGTGGTGAAGATGCCACAGGGGTAAGAGACTATGTGATCCACGAGAGGCATGCCTGAGAAGCTCAGACCGCGGCCCAGAGCCTGCTCACCTGCCCGGCATCCATTGGAACGCAAGAGGCGATCAGTCTCCACCCGACAGCTACAGGATGTGAGCGCAGGGCTGAGGTCACACTGCATACCCAGGAGAAAGCCCCTGGCTCCACCTGCTGCTCCCACTGTGACCTGATCTAACCTTAACAAGCCCCCACTGTCCTATCCCCCTACCCCCCGGAGAACAAGGCTCTGGAGATCAGTCATCCCGGGGTGAGGGACGCCCTTGCCAACGTCAGTGGCTGTGTCTGAGAGTGCTATGGGGCCTATGGGCCCACACTTCAGCAAGCTGCCTCTAACCCAGCTGGGGGCTTCAGCTGGGGGCTACCTCTGACTCAGGTGGTGGGGAAAGGCCCCAGAGGAGACCTAAGCAACCACGTCTGGAGACACTTCTCTCCTGGTCCTGGACCCAGAACCCCAGACTCTCCTGCCAGCCCTGGTTTCCTGTTCAAATGAGGGTGTCCTAGCTGGGGGCATCTGTCTGTTACTGCTCTCCTTGGGAGCCAGTTCTGGCCTAGACATCCAGCTCCTACATCCTTCTGCTGGTAAGGAGCACAGGGGTGGCCTTCTTTCCCCTTGGCTTCTCCTGCTCGCAGTGAGGTCAAGTACTGGAGTGCTTGGTGCAGAGCTGGGGCTCATCCTGAGTATCCCCTGCGTGGCTTCTCCTCCCTGGGCCTCCAGGTCTGCCTCATGCTTCAGAGGGTCGCAGACTCCAGGTGAATCTGTATCACCGAGGCCACGGGACACACATGGAAATTCGGACACACATGGAAATTCGGAGTCAGCAGATCTGGGTGGGAGCCTGGGGACAAATGTGCCTACGAGTGCCTCCACCTTGAGTTGATTGCCCCAGCTTATCTGGGGGCTGAAACTTGAGAGACACTTATTTGAAAGACAAATTGTTGGGAGACAGGCTTTGTTTTCAGATGGCTTGAATGGATCAGAGATAACCTGAACCAAGGAGGAAGGAGAAAACAAGTCTTTCTGGAACACCACCTGGTCATTTGTATTCATTGTCTCCAGATAAGAATCATCCAGTTCTCCCGGCCACCTATTTCCCCATCCTTTCCTCTGCCCTCACCAAAGACTGAGCCCTGGAGGAATGGTCATTAGGTCAAGAAGGAAAGGGTTTATCTGTTTGGGTTTAAACGGCTGCCATACCTTCCTTCTAGAATCCTTCTACGATTACAGGCTGGTTTACATCCCCATGATGCTGTGTGCACTGAGGTGACAAGCCCAGGCCATTCCACGGTACCTGCTGAGCCACCAGCCCGGATAGTATTCTAGCTCCCACCAGGCCTCATCCAGCCCACCCTCTACCCAGCCGAGGCAGGCGTTGCCCCGAGGGTCATGGGCAGCTGTCCTGGAAGCATCAGGACTCCTGGCCGCCCCCCCACCCTGCCCACAGCAAGAGGCCCCTCCTTGCTGCTCCCATAGTTCCTGCCTTCCCTGTGGCTTTTATCATGTGGTATCACAGGGGCCCCTTTCTTTGTCCATGTCCCCTGCTAGAATGTTCTTAAGGGCAGAGACAATTTCTGTTTTATATGTGTGTCACCACCCCCGGTAAAGCGCCTAGTACGTAGCAGGCCCTCCAAAAATGTTTATTAATAGTGGCACGAATGCATGTTCACTAGGCTTTTAGAGAGATGCTTTGCACACTAGAAATAAATCATTCCTCACAAAACCCCTCCAGGGCTCGAAGTGACCCCTTCCTCCAGGTGAGGAACCCAAGGCTGAAAGACGATGTAAGAGACTCAAGACCACACGGCCAGTAAGTGGCAGAGTGAGGACAGACTGGCTGACGAGGGCCCTGGGATCCACACTCTGTCTACCCACTTCCTCGCACTTCATGGGGTCGAGTCCCGAGGCAGAGGGCTGTCCTCAGATGGCTCGGGAGCCTCCACCCTCCTGCTGACCCACACAGCCTGGCTGCAGGCCCAGGAGAGGGCGGCCCCCACCTGCCTCACCTGAGCTCTTTGCCCAGCCGTGAAGACCTTTTAAGATGAGAAGCTGCCTGGACCCCTCCCTCCCTCTGGAGGGGTCACCCATGGCAGGGACACACCAAGGACGGTGGGAGCACTGTCGGGAATGAAGCTGTGGGTGTCACGAACTGTAGCTTTTCTTTTCCAGGTTTCCTATTCTGTTCCCTTGGTGGGAGAGGACCACACCCCGCCCAGTGATGGAAGATTCTCCGCAGGCCTGGGGGTGCCGGACCCCTTGGAAGACAGGTGTTGCCCATGTTATTTCTCCCAACTGCAGATGGAGAGCCCTCTCCTGAGGGGCGTGGGGCCGAGCCACTGGGAAAACTGAAGGCAAGTCACAGAGGCCCAGGGATGGAGGCACTCCTCCCTGCTGGATAAACGGGAGGCAGGCCTCATGCCCACGTCCCTCCTGCCCTCCCCACCCATGCACTCTTCGAGACTTTTCTGCTGTGTTCTGTAAGTCCCTAAGGGCCAGCCTGAGAGTTTTTGCCGACCCCTCCAGGAGCTGGCTAAAGGCTCACCCAGTCTTATTTTCCAGAAAAAAAAAAGGGGGAGGTGGAAGAGAAAAATGGGCCTCCAGAGAGGTAGGTTTGGAGGAGGGCAAAAGAGCACGACTCAGGAGAAGCAGCACCAGAGCCCCTGGAGGCTGGGAAGGAAAAAAGGGGGAATGTGGAGAGCTGGCCCAGCTTGGCCAGAACCCTAAGAAGGAGGTGGGCAGTGGGATGTGCTCCTTGACAGGATGGACAGAGACTACAGCCAGAGTCTTCTGCAGTAAATTGTTCCCTGTGCCCAGTTAGCCCAAGCTGGGCTGTGCAGCCACACTGTGTGCTTGGAACTGTCACCAGCCAGGGGCATGGTGGCCAGAAGTTCTGGGGACCCCTGAGATGAAGTGGGGGGTGGGGCAGAAATGGCTGCGTGCAGGAAAGGTGCGCACTGGCCTGCCCACCACTGTTCATATGTGCACCGAAGCAGCATTTATTTTTACCTGGGTAGGTTCAGCTTCTGATCATAGGAGTGGTGGGGGCTTTCCATCGGTTTCCATGGAAACGTTACGCACAGCATCTGCTACCCGATCAACAAGGCTAGGCTGATGGGACTCTTTCTGGAATTAGTTTGCTGTTTCTACCCAGGAAGATGTCCCACCTGCATTTTCCCACTGCCTTCTTGTGTGGTGGAGGCGGGGAAGGGCAGTTCTGGGGGGTCAGGGCTATCACCCAGGGAAGGAGAGAGGGTTGGCAAAAGGCAAGTATTCGGAAAAGCCCCGTGGTTTCCACTTCAAAGCCCCAAGCAGGGTCCCACGAGGAGGCCACGGAGCCGGAGCAGGGCCCTGGTCCCAGCCCGCCCCAGCAGCAGGGATACCTGCTGGTCCCCCAGAGCTGCCAGCCTGTCATCCGGGACACCCTGGGGTACCGTGGGGCACGTAGGCCGAGGAGCAAGCTGTCAGGTACAGGAGGGGGTGAGACCCGAACGCGTTCAGTTTCAGTTTTACAGCATCGAGGCCCCAACTTGCCCATGCGGCGGGGGAGGGTGGCTTCGGGGTGAGAAAGGCGCAGGTGCACGTGTACGGTGAGAGGTGGTTTTATTCCAAGTGCATGTTTCATAAAGACGAGGCCCCTCAGGGACGGCGAGTGGCACATGCTTTGGTTAAGAAGAGGAAAGGCAAGAGCAGAGCAGGGCTGAGGCCCACGAAGGACGGCGGACAGGTGTAGTCGCCCACGGGGAAGGGAGGGGCGTCGGACAGGTGCAGGGGGCCCACGGGGAAGGGAGGGGCGGTGGACAGGTGCAGGGGGCCCACGGGGAAGGGAGGGGCGGTGGACAGGTGCAGGGGGCCCACGGGGAAGGGAGGGGCGTCTGACAGGTGCAGGGGGCCCACGGGGAAGGGAGGGGCGTCGGACAGGTGCAGGGGGCCCACGGGGAAGGGAGGGGCGGTGGACAGGTGCAGGGGGCCCACGGGGAAGGGAGGGGCGGTGGACAGGTGCAGGGGGCCCACGGGGAAGGGAGGGGCGTCTGACAGGTGCAGGGGGCCCACGGGGAAGGGAGGGGCGTCTGACAGGTGCAGGGGGCCCACAAGGAAGGGAGGGGCGTCTGACAGGTGCAGGGGGCCCACGGGGAAGGGAGGGGCGGTGGACAGGTGCAGGGGGCCCACGGGGAAGGGAGGGGCGGTGGACAGGTGCAGGGGGCCCACGGGGAAGGGAGGGGCGTCGGACAGGTGCAGTGGGCTCACGGGGAAGGGAGGGGCGTCTGACAGGTGCAGGGGGCCCACGGGGAAGGGAGGGGCGGTGGACAGGTGCAGGGGGCCCACGGGGAAGGGAGGGGCGGTGGACAGGTGCAGGGGGCCCACGGGGAAGGGAGGGGCGGTGGACAGGTGCAGTCGGCCCCCAGGGAAGGGAGGGGCTCTCAGGCTTCTCTGAGCAGCAGCCCCCTTACACTCAGCGAGGGAAGCTGTGCCCCCCATCCCCAAGGGGCCACGCTGCAGGGGGGTGGGGGGGACACACACAACAGAGATGGGGGCGGAGGAAACACAGTGACAGAGGACGGGAGATGGGGCCCCCTGGGGGGCCAAGGCCCTGTGCTGGGGCCCAGGAGCACTGCTTGAGAGGGCCTGGTGAGAGTCAGGGAGTGAGGAAGCTCCCGAGGCCCCCCATGGCAGGGCTCCTGGCCTGAGGGCCCATGGAGGAGCAGGAACCAGCAGTCTAGGCTCACCAGGGAGGGAGAAGGCGCACGGCAGCTCAGCCCGGTGGTTGCTCCAGGCCAGAGCAGAGGCGCAGACCCTTTGGGGATCAGGGACCTCTGCAAGAAGCTGGGGCGATCCATGGACCCTCTCCCCAGGAAAATGCACATCTGCACACACATGCATGATTTGGGGGACAATTTCAGGAGAGTCCCGGGCCCTCTGGAATCCATGAACTCCCTAGAGGTCCCAGGCGGATTTGCTTTGGGAGGGGGATGCCCAGGGGTCCTCATACCCCTGGTCTTTTGCCAAAAATCACCCTGCCTGAGCCACTAGGGTTGGGGAAGAGGAAAAGAGGAATAGCAGAAGCGTTTCCAAGACCAGGCCGTGGGCCCAATGGCCGTGAGAAGGAGCTGGGGTTCTCCACACAAACAGGAGCCACCAGCCAGCCTCCCCGCTCACTGTGGGAACTGACCCTCTCAGGCCTCCCTCCTGCAGTGGGGAGGGTGAGGATGAGGCTTAGCCTCCGCGACTTACTCCCTAATGTGTTAGGGAATGTTTAGCTCCGGAAGGGAGGTCCTGTTCTTACCAGCTACTTCAACACCATAACGCTGTATTTACAGAGACAAAGGCTTTTGAGAAGGCAGGAGTCAAAGTCTGAACGAGGATGGGGCTGCTCCAGGGTGCATGGTGGTTGCCTGCCCACCCGGGGTCATCACCATGGGCCCGGGCAGAGCAGACAGGGCACCAGCTGGTCTTTAAGCCCAAGAAAAGAGGTCTTGGCCTGACACATGGCCAAACAGAAGTGGGATTTGTTTAATAAACTGGGTCCCAAGGCTGCCCATGAAGACCCCGTTGCAGCCTCTTGCTAGGAACGTGGAGGCCAGAGTGCCGGGCGCGATGGGCGGGGACTGACACAGCATGGGAAGAACTATGGGTTGTCTGGAAGAGACTAATTCTTTTGGTGCTTTGCTGCTTTTCCATCCATGTCCTTCTGCAAATTACCCATCCTTTGCTCCAGATCCTATCCTTCCCACGCTCAACCCAGCACCTGCCTGGGACAAGCCACAGAGCTTCTCACCTCCTTCTTGTTCTCCACCTGCCTTCAGGCTGCACCCCCTCGCCCGGCCCTCAGCCTCCCCATCCATGCTGCCCACGTTCTCTCATGCCGGTCCCACAGCTAGGCCCTGTGACCCAGCAGGGGCCCTGCGTGGGCTTCTGTCCTTGCTCTCCCCAGCCAATGGGGGACGGCTCCCCCAAACACTGTCCGGGACCCTGGGAGGGTGAGGGGAAGGGGACCAAGGGCCGGGGGTGGGCTGCCCAGTCTCTGCCCAGCAGCAGCATCTGACCGTCTCCTCTTCTGGGGCAAGGCCGGGCTGGCAGCCGGAGCATCAGGGCCTGCCCCGCTGTGCCCGCCCCGAACAAGCTTTGGGGGAACTGTGTGTCGTGGCAGGGGGGTTTGCTGATGATTCCGGCGGAAATGTGAGGAGATGGGGACGGCCTGCTTCACACTCCCCCACCCTAACCCGCTTCCAGTCCCAAAGTCTCATGCAAAAGGTATGGGAGGCCCCAGGCTACCGTCACGTGTGCGGCGTCAGCTGCCACTGCTGGGCCGGGGCGTCGGCCTGGCACTTGCTGGTCACCAGCTGGGCGGGCTTGGCCTCCAGGCAGAGGCCGCTGACCGAGTGCTGGATGAAAGAGGCTTTTCTCCTCCATCTCTGGCGGGGGGAGGACGGGGAAGAAAACACAACGATTAACAATCATAATAATTCGCATCTATATAAGGGCCTGAATATCCCTCGGATGCCCCACCCCCTCACTTAGAGCAGACTATGTCCCTTACATAAGAGCTCCCCGACCCCACACGCAGTCTTAAACCCCTTCCCTGCTGGGGCACTCCTGCTTCCACAGTCCAGCAGAAGGCGAGATCAGAGGCCCGTGGGCTGAATGAACCTGACCTGGGGCTGTATTTTGTTTGGCCTGCACAGTGTCTGTTTAAAATTTGCCTTCGTGGGCGCCTGGGTGGCTCAGTCGGTTAAGCGACTGCCTTCGGCTCAGGTCATGATCCCAGGGTCCTGGGATCGAGCCCCACATCGGGCTCCCTGCTCGGCGGGGAGCCTGCTTCTCCCTCTCCCTCTCCCCCCGCTTGTGTTCCCTCTCTCGCTGTCTCTGTCTCTGTCAAATAAATAAATAAAATCTTCTAAAAAATAAAAAAATAAAAAAAAATAAATAAAATTTGCCTTCGTTGTCACATGAAAACCTGCGTTTCTAGCTTCCCTTTAGACATGGCCGGTTTCTTACACGGCCCGGGGCAGTTGGGGCTGAGCTGCTGCTCCCTGCTAGAGGGGCTCTTGTCCTGCCCAGGACAGCACGCCCCACCCCTGCAGCACGCCCCATCCCTCCCTGCTGGCCCGTTGAGTCTGCGGGTCCTGGCTTAGTGCGTGTTTTGCTTCTTCAAACAAGATTTCCTCTCCCCACCGCTCTGAGCTTCCGGCCTGGCCTGTAACCAGGCAGCAGGTGACCAAGGGCCGTAAGGGGGATCCAGTCACCATGTCTGCAGCGATGAGGAGTAAGGCCAGTGGGATGGTGGGAGGCCTGGGGTCCCCGTCACAGTCCCCTCCTGAGCCTCCCGTCCCCAGGCTTGAGGAAGGGGAAAAGAGGTGTTCCCGTGGAGCATTTGGAGATGCCTGGGTGGAGGAAGGGGGTGTCCTTTGGAACACTCAAGAGAAGGGCTGAGGCTGACCCAGGCTTCAAGGCTCAGGGAAGAATAATGAGAGAGGCCTGTCTGTCCATCTCTCCTCTTCCTGTATCCCCCTTGTTCTTGTTCTCCACAGGAAGTGGGGAGTGCTTGACCATGCATGGAGGCGCCCGCCGCCCCCCCCCCCCTGCCATGGCTCTGAGGGGCTGGGGCCGTGGGCTTGCCAGAATGCCCGCAGAAGGGCTGAGCCGCACCCAGCTGCAGGGCCAGGCCTAGGGCTGCAGGGGTTGGGGTGGGTGGAGAAGTGAACTGACTTGGGGGGAAGGTGGGGGTTGTGGACTCCCCTTGGGAATGTGAGCCTGTAGGGTGCCCATGCGGCCCCAGCAGAGAGGGGTCCCTGGCCTAAAAGTTGGGGTGGTGGGTAGGACAGGGCCTTGGTCCCTCTGGAACTCACAGCATTCTGTTGCTTTGTGCTCTTCTAGTCCCTGACCTCCCGGGAGGGGCTGGCCACGCTCCCCCGCACTGGGCATCGCTGGACCCCGTCCTCCTTTCTGTCTGTGGCCAACAGGAGCTGTACCTTCCCGAGAACAGGCAGGGGCCCAGCGCAGTGGTATTTATGAAGGGTGAATGCGCGGATGAGTGGACGGATCACCCGATCTCGCTGGAGGTGCTCCCAGAACCACAGGATTCTCACTTTCTACCCATGCCATCGAGAACTCTCCCGGCCGCTCAGGCCTGGGCCTGGACAGAGAATCAGTGCCCCTCACGGCACTCTCCTATCTCCTCAGCCTCCGTTCCTGCAGGCGCCTTGCAAGGCAGGCAGGGAGGAGACCGAGGCTCAGAGAGGTGAGGGGTGGCGGGGCTGGGGTCTGCTGACTGCATCCCACTGGCTCCAGGACACAGAGCCTCTCAGATCCATGACACCCAGTGGCTGTGGAAGCCAAAGGGGGACCAAGAAGGAAGGCCTAGCTTTGAGAAGGCACCAGCAATGGGAGACCCGCTCATCCTATCCTCTGGGAGGAGAGGGCCTGGGGGCCAGGGTGCCGCTGGGGGCCTGACAGGACTTGCAGGAGCAGATTAGATAGAGCTCGAGAGAATTAAGTGAGCGGTGGCCCCCCCAGGAGCTACTTCCTGGGGTGGCAAGGATTGATGGGAGTGGGCTCAAAGCCTGACCCTCGGAGAGGTCTGCTGCCCCCAGTGAAGAAGAGCCTGAGGACACCCCTCACTGCAGGGCAGGGGCGGAGGTAGCAGGACAAACTTCCTCTGCCAATCAGAAACACCTCAGAAGTGTCCGGCAGGCCCAGCAAGCAGATCCTGGCACACAATTCACACACGCGCGCACACACACACACACACACACATGCATGCACTCAGAGGCTGGAGGGCGGGGATCTGGCTGCTTTTCCAGAATGGCGTAGCCACTTGCCAGTCATCCCTAAAGAAAGAGCTGACCCAGGCAAACAGGAAAAGGGTGGGAGGAAAGGCCAGGCACTCTCCTCAACCCTGCACTGTCCCACCGGCCGGCCAGGGTCAGGCACGGGGACGGCTACCGGGGCATGTGGGCAGGGGAAGGGCTGGAGAAAACCTCTGGCCTTTGTGTTCCAACCCTCGGGCAGAGCGGCTCCCCCCCAGCCAGGAAGGGAGCTGAGCTGACTCTGCCACTGGCTGATGCAGACCCTGAGAGCAAGTGATGTCATCTCTCGGAACATCGGATTCTTCCTCGACCGGTGGGCCTGACCTGTCTCCCAGGATTCATGGAGACAGGGCGGCTGAGTGTTTGACAAATGGAAAAGGTAGTGCTCATGGGAAGCTGTCATGCCAGCTTGGAAATCGGTGTATCTGGGTCTCACTTTCCCGGCAGCCACAAACAAGAAATACTTACGAAACATCTACTATGTTCTGGGTTAAGACCGTGGGCTTAGGGGTCACACTGACCTGGGTTTGAATCTCGGCTCTACCCCTTCCCAGCTGTGTTTCATCTGACACCTGTTTCTTAAATTCAACAAGCCTCGGTTGACTCACCTGTAAGATGGGGAGGGGACGAGGGCCCAAACCCCTGGGTTGCACGAGGATAAAATGAGATGGTCTATGTAAAACTCCTATCATCGGCTCTTGGTAAAAGCCAGCCCGAATTTGGCTGCAGTGGTTGTCAGGGGCTAAGGACACAAGACAGACGGCCTCTGCCCTCGTGTCACCCACAGGCTGGCAGGATGGACATGTAACCATATTTACTTGAAGAAGTGCTTCCTCATGAGCACAACAGACTTGACTTCGCCGCTGACTTGGAGGAACCCTCACTCTGGAGGGAGTATTTGAGTCCATCTGATTTAACCCAGGGCTCCCATGCCAGGAGCTGCCACCCAGCCTGCGCATCCCCGGGGGGTGAGGAGACTCACCTGCCTGCCTTCTCTCGGGTTGCACCCCTGCAGTAGGACCAGGGAGCCTGGGGTGCTGGACGTGGAGGTGGCAGTCAGGCACTTCCCCTGCTGCTGGATGAGATGGTCGCTGAACAGCCACGCCTAGAAGACAGGCACGTGAAGTCCAAGTGTGCAGTGAGGGATGGGGAAGGGGGTAGACAGGTTAGAAAACAAATACCATGTATGTTGGCAGAATTTTCTACAAATAATAAGAGTGAGTATATGGGTATTCACTGTACTGTTCTTTCAACTTTTCTGTATGTTTGAAAGTTTTCGTAATAAAAGGATGGGGGCAGCATAGCTGGAGCGGGCTGGAGGGCAACCAAGGATGTACCAAGGGATGCCAAGGGCGGGGGGGCCAGGGAGAGACAGGATGCAGGACCAGGGCAGCTAGGGGATCTCCACGACCTGCTCATTTTGACATGACTGCAGCGACCCTGATATGTGGCACACGCACATACACACAGGAGTCTTGGATGCCCTGCTGTCCATGATACACGCTGACCACAGCTGCATCCCAGGAGGGAACCGGGTGCCGTCTGGGTAACATTTCTCCCTCGGCAAGGAGAAAGTGGGTGGTGCCCAGAGGGCAACTGTGGCACGGTTGGGAAAAGGGACGGGAATGTGGCAGAAGCAGACCCAAGGAGCAGTGTGAGGGGACAGTGTATGTGGTTCCTGGGAGAGTGGGTTTGTGGAGGGTGTAAGCAGAGAGAAAGTGAGAATGAGCCAAGGGAAGCCCCCTCCCCCACTCCTGGACAATGACCCAAGGCTCCTATCCCCCTCCTGATTCTGACCTCAAGGCCCTAAGCAGCTTACCTGGGGTGCTGGGGGGTTCTTGGCAGACCCTCTGCAGATCCCCATTCCAAGCAGGAAGTTCCCAGCTGAGTCCTGGCCTTGGGATTCTAAGCAATTAACCCCTTGTTTAATGATGCCAGGGAGCACTTCCTTCACGGGGACTCTGAGAGAAAATGGAGTGGTTCAGGCTTGTCCTCTGCCCTCTCTAGGCTTACTCACCCCTCAGCCAGAAGGCAGTGCTCAGTCAGCTCCCCGGGCACCAGGCTTTTGGTCTCAGTGTCATGGGAAGGGGCCCTGGGGAGCAGCCCTAGCCAGCAGGGGCAGGAGGGCAGGGGATGGGGGAAGGAGCAGGATGCCTCTGGGAGCCCTAAGGGCAGCCCTGGAGGCCAAGCCTGAGAGGACCCTGGGAAAAGAGCTCAGACCAGAAAGCCAAGGCTCCCCAGTCTAGAGAGAAGAAAACCTGGGGAGAGACTGGGGTCTAAATATGGACTCAATAGGACTTCTCAAAATGACAGGGAAAAGGTCACTTTGGAGAGGCAAATTTCAAACCCACAACTAGGAAAATGTGTTCAATCTCACTAATGATTAAAGAAATACATATTAGAGAGTTACCACTGTTTATATATGGGCATAACATATAATATGTAATACATATGTATTATTTCTATATATTTACTTATATAAAATATATCATATGTATCATATTATATCAACACCAATCAATATCAATCCCCAGTGTTGGCAATAGCTATGGGATCAGATCTTCTCATACTCTATGGGTGGGAGCATAAACTGGCCCAACCGTTCTGGAGGGCAATGTGGCATTATGTATCCAAAGCTTTAAAAATGTGCACACATAGATAAAAGGGGTTAAGAGGTACAAACTTCCGGTTATAAAATAAGTCACAGAGATGAAAAGTCCATCATAGGGAATATAGTCAATAATACTGTAATAGCGTCGTATGGTGACAGGTGGTGACTACACTTATCATGGGGAGCATTGAATGATGTAGAGGATTGTTGAATCACTATGTTGTACACCTGAAACGAATACATTGTATGTCAGTTGTATTTCAATAATAAAAAGCACACAAAAAATAATGTGCATACGTTTGACCTAACAATCTCAATCCTACTTCTGGAAATTTGTTATCCTGCGGCAGTAATTTTGGATGTTTGCAGAGTGATCGGTTGCACTGAAAAAATAGATATCCAACAATATGGGACAGGCTAAATAAATACTGATTCATCTATAGGGTGGAAAGCCCCATTGCCATTAAAAATGACTCCAAACGAGTATCTGATAGCATGGAAAAATGTTTATAACATACTGTTAAATAAAACAGGCATTTCAAAATATTATTATTTAAAATATGCTTAAACACACATCTCTCTCTCACACACACACACACACACACACACACGACACATTGTCTTATTTTGTGGATAATAAACCTAAGGAGGCTGCTGGCCCCAGCTGATGCAGGCTTGTATTCCTGGGTTTAGAAGGTCATACACCCTCTTGGGTTATGGCCCCATGGGGTGATGGGGCTCAGAGTCTGGTCATGTGCCTAATCTTTTTTTTTTTTTAAAGATTTTATTTATTTATTTGACAGAGAGAGACACAGCGAGAGAGGGAACACAAGCAGGGGGAGTGGGAGAGGGAGAAGCAGGCTTCCCGCCGAGCAGGGAGCCCGATGTGGGGCTCGATCCCAGGACCCTGGGATCATGACCTGAGCCGAAGGCAGATGCTTAATGACTGAGCCACCCAGGTGCCCCCATGTGCCTAATCTTAACCATCTCTTGTTACCTCTGTCCAAAGAGCACCTAGGTGGGCTGGGGAGGGGGGCATCATAATACTTCTGGAATTCTTAAATCTCAACCAAACCAGGTCTTCCTTCCTCAAGGCTGACTGGAAGCCCCCAGAACCCCCAACCACGACCCACTCTCACAGAGCCTCAGGAAGACATCTTCACTTTCTCTCACACACTCCTCGCAGGAGTGCGCACCCCTCCAGGCCCCTCTTGAGAGTTTGCATAATTCTAGACCACAGGTTGAAAACTGCTGGCCCCCAAGCTGAATATGGTCCCAAACACATTTTTTTTTTAGCTTAAAAAGTCGTCTTTATTGGTTTCTTATTGCCTCACAGAGCATCAGAGTTGATCCCTCCTGGGAATATGGCATTTGAAGAGATAAATACTTATTTTGCCCCCAACTTGTCAGTAGAGGGAAGTTTAATAAAAATAGTAATATAATAACAATGACTATGATCAATAATAAAATGCCCCCTATGATCCCCTAATACACAGGTGGTTGAAGCTTTGAAAAAAGGACCACCTCCCCTTTTTGGGAAGGGCCAATTGCGCCAAGCCCCTCCCCAGAAAGGCCGCTATCAGCAGTTCTCCCCTCCGTGGGCCCCATTGGCTCTCTGCTCTTCTTCACTACTCCTCCTTTATCCCTCTACTTCTCCTCTGGATGCCTCTCCCCTCCTGCCAATCACTAAGACTGCTTCTTCTACTTCCTTTCCTTCCCCTTCCCTCTCCCACTTCCTTCACCTGCTTCCTCCCTGCTCCTTGTCTATCCTCCTTTCTTTTGAAAAAAAAATATATTTTTTTATTTTTTAAGTAATCTCTACAACCAACATGGGCTTGACCTCATAACCCCGAGATCAAGAGTCGCATGCTCTATTGACTATGCCAGCCAGGTGCCCCATCCTCCTTTCCTTTGGATCAGATGTCGTCTTTCCTATCTTGACCCTGAGCAGAGACCATGATATGCCCCAACTTGGCCTCACCTAGAGGCTGGACAGTCCACAGCCAAGACCCCAGATTGCTCCCAGAGGCCCAGTCCTCCACCCCTCATCCCGACTCTTGCTTGCAGGTTTTCTGAGGCTTGGCACTGGAAAGGAGAGCTTTGGCATAATCCCCCCTGGACTCCAGGGCAGATGGGCCCCAGGGCAGAGAGGGGGCCATTCTATTCCCAGTAGCTAGCACAGATACGGGCTGGGAGCAGAAGAGAGAGGCCGAATAAGGGCTGGGAGTCAGGGCACCCAGGTCCTGGGTACCCAGATCAGCCTCTGAGTCATTCTCCCACCCAGGCCTTCCCTGAGTTCGAATTTCCACACAACCCTGAGCCAGCGGGAGCATGGCATTCCTCAAGCTCTTTGCTCTTTCCTGTCTCTCTGTCCTGGGATCGGGGTGGGCCCTGCCAGAGGGTGTCAATGGGAGCTCTCTGATTCAGGGGCCGGGGGGAGGCTCCGGCCTCAAACACATTTTGTCTGACCTGCATAGTGTGGTGGTGGTTGTTTTTAGCTAATTGGCAATATTAAAAATCTGAAGGTTACACAAAGAAATCTGGATCCAGCCTCTTTTGAGAAAATAGGAAGATCTTCCAGCGAGGCACTCAAGGCACAAACACGTGGTCGTGCTGCCCCTGGGGGGAGGGGCTTTTGCATCCCAGTTGGCCATGGTCCCCACAACTCCCTTGTGTCTCATTGCTGCCCACAAGATTGGTTTGCATCACCCATCTGATCACTGTAGGATTTGAATTTGTGACCTCTACCCGGGGACGAGGGTGTTGGGATGCAGACCCCACCCCCTCTGCTTCATCCAGGGGCAGCCTGTTCTATTGTCCTTCTCTATGGAGATGAGACACCCACTGAGGCCTCTCAGCCAGCTCAGGAATGCAGCCCAGTCCGTTCCAGATCCTTCTGTATGTTTCCTCTCCCTGCCCGCTGTCCTCAGGGAGATGTGCGGGGTGGTCAGCTTTCAGCACTGAGGTGGGCACTGTCCATGGGGGGGCCACAGCCATTGGCACAAAGGCCTGCCCACTGATGCTTATGGGGGAGATGCGGGGCTTAGGCAACAGTCTCCAAACTGGATGGGGCTCTTGAGGGGTCTGTGTGGTCCTGGCCCCAGGGGCCTCTGGGATGGTCGTCTCCACCACCCTCCCTGGCTTCCTGGCCGAGCTGGCTCCACTACATCTGCATCTGCTTCCCTCTCCGTGGGCCTCCTCCCAGCGGGGCTGCCATCAGCCCTTACGATGCCTCTGTAGAAATAGCAAAAGCATCCCTTCCTCGAGACATTTTACTTCCATCTGTTAGAAAACTGTCATAATATACTGGTTTTGTTAGAAGACTTTTACTGCCATCTGCCAGGAAGTGTTATAATGAATGTACAATATCCACTGTGTGGTTTGCGCCCTGGCAAATGTGCGCACAGCTTGCACGGTTCCTGGCCGTCCTAATCAAAGTACTAGATCAGTGGTTGTTGAGGCCAGCAGCAGGCCTCTGATCTGGGGGGGGACAGAGCTGTGCCGGGACTGTAGGCAGGCCTAGGAAAGCAGGGACCTCTCCCTTAGCCTCCTCAGTCTCCCCACTGACCGTCTGCAAGTGGGGGCCAACCATTAGGACCCCCTGTTTGGAGGAAAGCTTGGCATACAGATGTCCTTCCTAACCAACGACCTGAGCCGCTGCCAGCCCCTCATCCCGAGAACCGAGGCAGAACCTGAAGAGCGGAGTGGGCATGAGCAACCTGGACAGGAATGAGGTGCACAGTTTCTATCTTACGGACACAAGATAGTTTTTTCAAACCTCTGGACAGTGCCAAAACAAACGGAAGAAGACTCATGCTCCTCATTTCACATAGCTGGTTACATCCACTCTCCTGTCTTGTGATGGATCCAGGTTTCTGATAGGTATAAAATACCCTTTCCTCTCAGTCCTCAGGGGATGACATGGGACACTGTGCATGCGGATTGGGTGTGGAGAGGAGAGACATATTCCTGGTCCTCCCTGGTGCCTCCCACAGGCAGCCCAGCTCCCACCCGAGGCCTAGAGCCCAGGGCTCCGTCCCAATGTTGCCCGAACTCTGACAGGATGAAAAGAAACGGCTGCTTTTTCCCTCAGAAATGACACGTCTGAATGAAACTATCCCCTTAAAAGTGGCCACTGGAGAAAGTGGTCCATTTATTATACTTTTATAAGTTAATGTTCTTTCCCTTCACAGCCATCATCTGGGGAGCTGGCTCATCCAGGCCACGAACTCTTTTCAAGGATGCTGATGTTGCTTAAATTGTTTCAAAATTCCTTGAAACTTGCTCCCAGAATCAGTTTACTCTGGATACTTGTTTCAGTCCTGGTCGTGCTCTATCAGGGACCCAGGATCACCTTATCTGGGGGAATCGCCTTCTTCACTGGACTTGGTGACAACCTAACTATGGCTGTTTTCCAAAAATGAAAGCTGCCCTCAAAGAACAGAGATTTGCCTTTTTCGAGGACATGCAGTCTCTGAGGGGTGGAGTGTTCTGGAAAGCCTCAGCAGCATCCTTGGGAGACAGCTGCCAGTGATGGAATAACCCGTTCCCTAAGGTGACAGCTATTGAAAGGAGAATGCTAATTTCCAAGTTATTACTATTGAGGCTTATTGACTATGCAATTTATTCAGTTAAAGATATTTATCGAGTGCCCGTTTTGTGACAGGCCCTGTTCTAGGGGCCGGAGATCAAACAGCGAACAAAGCAGATCTGCACCTCTACCCTGATGGAGATTACTGTCACGTGGAGGGGGGGCAATAACGAAATGAACTGGCCACATAGGCGCTGGATGGCGAGCGTGGAACAAGGGATGCTGGGGAAGGGAGTGCTCTGCAAACAGAGACTGGGGAGGCGCCCTCCCCCCACTCCCCCCATTTGAGTCAAGACCTGAGGAGGTGAGGCCACTAGCCATGTGGATAAAAGGGATTTTGAATTGAGAAAAAAGGAAGGCTCACTGCCCCATGCCAGCCTCAGGCCGGGAGCTCACGCGCGCACACACGTAGATGCAGCCTCACCCCCAGGCCGGGAGCTCACACGCGCACACGCAGATGCAGCCTCACCCCCAGCTCACACCCCTTCTGCATCCCGCTTCCAGTTTGTCAGAGCAAATGTTTCCCCATGGCTTTGCATGGCTTTATGATTGCAATCGTAATGGATGCGTAATATTTGTTTGGATCCATGTGTTGGGATTCACTAAACCCACCCCTTACTACTAGTTATCTCTAGATTTTTCACAGCAGCAGAGAAGTCTACACTGAATGAACATCTCTTGTCAATAGTTTTTTGCTTTGGTTGCTTTATTTCCTGAAGATAAACTCCCAGAAGGGAGAGAACAGAGTCAAAAGGGATGAGTCTTTATTTCTGCGGCTTTTGCTACATAATGCAGTGTTGTCTCCCTATGGGGACAATGCCCTTTTCTGGCTCTATGACCCAGTCTGTTAAAAGTTTGGTTCCTGCCACATCTCACTTTTAACTCCTTCCCATTCCCCCCAGAGCCTTCACTTGAAGATTCAACACTGACAGCTAGAAAGAACCGGACTGCCCAAGATGGGGAGATCTCAGGGTGGTCCCCCACCCAGGCCAGATGCACAAGCTGAGGGCTGCACTCACGTGAGCTCTGGGTAGACGTTATCCAGGTACCAGCGGAAGGACTTGCAGTTCATCTTCTTCCTTTGCTCAATCCGCGTGGCTACGCTGGAAGAGAAGGGAAGGCTCAGGCTTTGGCAAGCGGGCACAAGGAGGAAGCCCCAGGAGGCTGGCCCCCTCTTTCCACCTACCCCAAGCAGGGCAGGGCCAGGAGCTGTCCCAGCCTGCCATCCAGCTGTGGCCACCTGCTGTAAATCCTTCTCTGACCTGCAAGGTCACCCCAGGTCTCCTGGCCATTCCTCATTTCTTTCCTCAAATTCCTGCTCACTTTCCAGGATCAGTGCAGCCCACTGGGGCCCTGCTTGACTCTGGCTTCTCACACCTTGAGACCTCAGCACACCCCTAGCTGGTCCTTAAGCAGAGCTTTAATGAACTCCAAGTTTTCCTTTCCTGCATTCCAATTTTAGCAGAAAGAATCTAACAAGAAAAGCACACTTTAAAGGTCTTTCAGGAATTTTGGCAAATGAGAACCCTCTGATGTGCCCGTGGACGCCACAGTTCCACCTCCCCAGGGTCCTCAGCTACCCTGACGGGAATGGCCACTGACAGATGACCCCCCACTGCCTCTCTGAGCCTCAGTTTCTCCACCAGTAAACATGACCACCTATCCCAGAAGGTTTTCAGAGAATCAAATGAATTAAGAGAGCATAAGAGCCTAGCACAGGGTAGGTCTTCAGTAAAGGTTAGTTCACCATGAAAAGAAATAGTCAGAGATGTAGCTTTTTTTTTTTTAAGGGATATAGATATGAATAAACAGAGGGAAGAATATTCAGAGATGATCACTAATGTTTTTAGTCTTCTGACCACAATCTTAAGAAATAAATGTATCTTACATTGTGATCGAGTATTCCCATGTGCATATATAGCTACACACATACACATATAACTGAAAGAAATTTCACCAAACAATACTTAGCTTTAACTGTAATCAACTGTTCTTTTCTATTCGCTCTGTTCCAATCTATCATGTTCTCTATCATTTTTTTTTTTTTTAAATGCCGGTCACGACCCATGAAATTGATTTCATAACCAATCTACATTTTGAAAATGCTTAACTAGACTGTCATCATACCAGCCCAGGACAGGAAAAGAGGCTAACAGGTCCCAGGCGTATTTTGAACAGCAGGGGGTGGTGGCCAAACCCCAAGGGTTTTCTGCAGACAGCCTGGCCCTGACTACTCCCACAGCTGTCCTTTTTCCCCGCAGGCAGCTGGTGAACGGGCAGCTCATCTTCAGCAGCGAGCCTTCTCTGGTTGTTTCTCCCAGAAACAACCTCAAGGTTGTGTGCTCCTCAAGGACCCAGTCCTGTCTCACATTGTGTATCCTACCAGAACCCCCCACCCCCAAGAGTCCAGCGGGGAGGGGCTCAGTTACCAAGGAGACTGAGTGCTTTCCACACCATTTTGTGTTTTGTTCTGGTTGTGCTAACGTGGGTGGAGGGAGGCAAACAGGGCTGGTGGGGGGGGCAGAGGGGTGCCCACCTGCCAAAGGCCTTCCCGATGGCCGAGGGCCGGGCCTCATAGTAATACTGCTTGTATTCATCCATCCACACCTCTGCAGTGCGCTTGGTGTTCCTAAAAGGGGAAGAAGGAACAAAATAAAGTCACTAGGGAGGTGACAGAGTTAGGATCAAGATCAGCTCTGTGCAGTACAGGGTGATGAGAATCTTGGGAATGTATGCGAAGTAATATGATTGGGGTGGTATAAATGAGTATAATCCGTTAACATCCATCAGCTCACGTCTGTATACTCTTCACACTCCACTGGAGGACTCTATTCTGCCAAAATGCCTGCATGTGGGCAAAAGGGACATGGACCAAATATTTGTTTACTAAAACAAGGGTGATGACCTGAATGCCCATCAATAGGGGAATAATGGCCCCTACTTTTATATGATGGAGTACAGGCCATGGTTAGCATGCACTGACACGGAAGGATGTCCACCATTTAGGGTCGAGTGGCAGGAAAGCAAGCTGCAGACAGAACACACAGCGTGACCCCATTTATGGAAAAACACAAAGTTATGGTGTGTATGCTTCTCTCTACATGAACCGCATATATGAAAAGGGGTTAAAAGGCCTGAAATGACAGACCAGAAATCTAGTCACAGTAGCTACTTTTGGAGAGACAAGTGGGAAAAGAGTCAGATTGGGTAAAAGGGACTTTTGCTTTTTCCTCTGTATATGATATGAAGAGTAAAAACACATATACGTACAGATGTGTATAGGTAATATATACTGGTGCAGCTTGCATTTTATAGCGAACATATATCACTCTTATAATTATAAAAACAAAAAATGGGGTGGGGGGAAGCAAACCGAAATAATAAGCCATTCAATTAGCTCGACTGGGGAGCCGCTGTGGCAAACAAGGAAGCGTGGGCCTGACAAGCAAAAGAACTGTCCTCAAAGGGGGTGCTCGGGACCCTCTTCCCCTTCCACCCCCACCAGGAGCGCGGTGAAGGCTGGACTCTAGGGCCAAGCGCATCCTGTGGCTGGGGACATGGATGGGCAATGCTGAACAAGTCAGGCTCAGGACATGGCATTCATGACCAGAACCTGGGGCCCAGTGAGTGGAGGGTCCAGTTAGTCCACTTAGTGATTGGGCCAGTTTTCCAAGACGTTCATGGACAAAGAGGGTCAAGACAAGGGAGGCCTGGAGGCAACACTCTCCATTTCACCCTTCCACCCCTCAAGGTACCTGGAATCCCAGAACTGGTAGGAACAAATGGGGAAACTGAGGCCCGGAAAGCGGGTGCAGCTGCCCAAAGCCGCAGGAGTAACCGACAGGGCTGGTGGGGTCTCGGACCTAGGTGTCCCGGCTCCTAGCCTGGTGCTCTTTGCATTGTGACCTACCTGATGTAGGTGAGGGCGTTGCCCTCAGGGAAGTTGTAGGGATGCCGTTTCCTGAAGACGTGGCCCACCCGGCTGCAGGGCACGATCTCCAAGCTCCCACCGCACATCCACACCCTGAAGGAGAGCTCTGCAGGAGATGGGGGCCATCAGGAGGGAAGAGCCCCTGGCAAGTCCCCCCGGAGTGAAGGTGGGAAGGAGCTAGGCTTCCTCGCCCTCGCCCCTGGTGTCTCCTTGGAGGCACAGGCGGGGCTCAGGGTTCCTGGGCCCATCTACATGGGACGTGCCCATTCTTGCACACGTTCCTGACTGTTCACTCCATGAATGTGCACACCCCCGCCCCCCACCACACACGCCCCCCTCCACACACCCCACTCCCCATCCCACCCCACATACACCCTCTCCATATACACCACATACACACACCCTTCATATACACCCCGCCCCACACACCCCCTCCACACACACCACACACACACACACACCACACACACCCTCCACACACACCCCCTCCACGTACACCTCCTCTACACACACACCACACATACACCCCCCCACACACACATACCCTCCATTGCCAACCCCTTACACACTGCCCGCATCTGAGCCCTGGAAGAGCAATGGGGAAAGCACTGAAGCAACACCAAGACCATGAGGAGAAGGAGAACTGAATCAAACGCAGCATCATTTCCAGCCTCCGACTAGAAAGCCCCATCCAGACATTGCTAAGGAAGAATGCATTTACTCATCAGTCGGCTCTGGGCATCCACGAGGCTGGAATACCAGCCACCAACCAGGCCACGGGCCGCTCCAGCTGGTGTCTTTCTGGCTCCAGACCTCCCTCTTGGCACAGGGGGTCTCCATTTACAGGCTACCACTGGCCCTCTTGAGACACGCTTCCTTTTGATAGTTAGTGGTGGGGATGCTGAATGAGCTTCTGTAGGACTGTGAGGGACTGTGGTCCCTCTTAGGGCAGGGAGATGCATGTAGCCATTCTGCTTCCTAGAGGGGGCCATCACAAACTGCCCGCTCTGTTCTCCACTCAACGATTGTCACTTCTGCCAAGGACCCACCGTGGGGGCTTGCTGACCCTCTCATAATCTCTTCTGATGACCCTTTCGTATGAACCCTACCGTTGGACAGACACCCTGTGACATTAAAACACCTCCTTCCTGTCCCAGAAAATACACAACCCTTGTTTTTTGTTTGTCTGTTTTGTTTTGTTTTTAATTAAAAAAAAAAAAAAGACCATTTTCTCATGAGTTCCAGCCTCGGTCCCTCGTCCCACTCCCCAGCTGGCTGTACAGACACTCGTGGTCCCTGGCCAGGCCTGGGGGTTCTCACCTGGCGCAGCTCATCGGGGCCCACCCCCCACCCCCAGTGACTAACGCCCGCCTCTGTCCAGCCTGTGTGCAGCAGACAGCTTCCAGACGTGGGCCAGGGGCCAGGGCTAGACACATGCCATAGCGGGGCTGGCCATGCTGATGGGCTTCCCTAGGTCGGCCTGCACACTGCCAGGCTTGTGTCCCTTCTCCTGGGAAGAGCTCTGCAGCTGGGTCAGCAAGTGAGATTTAGAACTAGGGGCAGACCTGGGGGACAGAAGAGCTGCATTCTGGTTCCATTTCTACCAGACTAACTTGGTTACGCTAATAAGTCACTTTATCCCACCAGCCTGCCCTGTCCATATGGTTCTTGGCATTACCCACAACATGGTCACGAGCAGTAACTGTCACCCATTTACTGAGCCCTTACCATGTGCCATGCTCTATAACCCAGGTCTAATTCTCACAGCAAGCATGTGAAGCAGGTATTATCATCTTCATGTTTTGTTTGTTTCAATTTCTAAGAAATTATTTATTCTTTTTAAGTAGGCTCCATGCCTAACATGGGGCTCGAACTCATGACCCTGAGGTCAAGAGTCACATGCTTTACCAACTGAGCCAGCCAGGTGCCCTGTCCCCCTGTTTTTAATCAGGACTGGGAAGCTCAAACATGTTAACCTCTCCAAGATCACCGAAATACTCTTGCAGAATTATAATGTCAAGTTCATATTTTGTCCAGCAAGCTGCACTGTTTGAATCAGACTCCTTAGTTCATTCAGCAAAATTTTATTGGGCACCTGTTAATTATGTGTCATGCACTGTTCTAGAATCCTTCCACACTCATGGGTAGGTGACGGGAACTCACTAAAATAAGGAACAAAGATGTAAGTAGACAAGATGAGTGAAATGCGTAGTCTATCCGATGGTATTAAGTGCAATGGAGACAGACAAAGCAGGAAGGGGCTGAAGAGCGCCAGTGGAGCTGGGGTGGGCTACAGTTTTAATCTGATTGGGAAGTTCTCCAGCAAAAGGGGATATCTGAGCTCAGACCTGAAGGAGGGGAGGAAGCAAGTCATGTGGCTTTTGGGGGAGAAGCATTTCAGGCAGAAGGATCGGCAAGGACAAAGACGTAGAGGCTGGAGTGGGCGGCAAGTTCTGGGACCGCAAGGAGGCCTGGTGGAGGCGGCTGCGGGGTGGAGTGAGGCCGGGTGGGAAAGGCAGGAGATAGGGGCAGAGCTGGGGGTGTGCCATGAGGGGAGGGCAGATGGCGTGAAGACTGTGGGCTCTGCTCTCAGTGATGTGACAGAGTCCCTGCAGGGTCGTGAGCAGAGGACCGACATGATCTGACTACCTTTTAAAAGGACCTCTAATGGGAATCCCAAGGTTTTCACATTGGCCACCTCCACTTATAGTGGCCTCTGGGGCTCTCTGAGGGGATACAGGAATGAGTCTCAGTTTAGGCATCTTCCTTCCTTCAACAAAAGAATGAAATGAAAGGCCCAAACCCACCAGCAACAGAGCTCTCCTGGCTCAAAACTGCTCCCAGCAGCTGAATGTCGAGCACCATGGCTAGCCTAGAAATTTCTTTGACTTTCTTCTAAGAAACAAAACCCTTCCCAGAAACACTCTGTGGTTCACCTTTCAAGTTCCCCAACCACTGAGCCCTCGCCTCAGGCAGAATTTGAAGTTAGCCATTTGATCATTTACTTGTTTCTCTGTCAATCACCAGCTGTAAAAAAAAAAAAAGAAAAGAAAAAAGCTCCTGGATGCAGGAGAGACCATTCGTTTCCCAGTCCTCTGAGTCTGTACAGGAAGCCCGCTTTGCCAAAGCTCCCTTCAGGCTGAGACTGAGGGCACACAGGAGGTCACTTGGGCCCAGAATATGCGAAAGGTCAGAACGGAAGGGTCAGTGCACTCGGTTCCCAGAATTTACTTCTTCAAATGCCTGTCTGCAAATGGTTTCCAAGAGTAAGTTATAAAGGGGAAAACATTCCACGCCTGTTTCCACTCCAGTTGGTTTTGAGTTAGGATCAGACCTATTATAAGCCCCACTGCTGGGGCGCCTGGGTGGCTCAGTCGGTTAAAGGGTTAAGCATCTGCCCTCAGCTCAGGTCATGATCCCAGGGTCCTGGGATTGAGCCCCTGCATCAGGCTCCCTGCTCAGCAGGGAGACTGCTTCCCCCTCTCCTCCCCACTCATGCTCTCTTGCTATCTCTGTTGCTATCTCTGTCTCTCTCAAATAAACAAATAAAATCTTTAAGAAAAAAAAAAAACCAAGCCCCACTGCTCATCTGTGTCCCAATCAGGGAGAGAGAAGAAAGACCTGCCCCTCACCTCTCAGAAACACAGAATTTGCTTTGATCACACCTCACAACACTGAAGTGGCTCTGGTTGGGGCACTACGCACACCTGTCAGATGTGGAGCTTCCTGATTGAAATCTGGAGGGCAGCGTCCACCTCAGTTTTCCCACCTGTCAAATGGGTGAGATACCACCAGCCGTATTTACTTTGCAAGAAACGTGGTGAGGATGAAGAAGGAAACAAAGGGCTCTGCAAAGAACAGGAGACCCCCGGATCGCTCCCCATCCTTTGCCCTGCAGACCCCCAGATCACTCCCCATCCTTTGCCCTGCTCCTCGCCGTGTGGGCTGCACTGTTGGCTTCCTTCCTGCGGGCTGGCAGGCTCCGTCAGAGCAGAGAGAGGGGAGAGCGAGGGTGGGTATTTATCCCCCGACACCCTCTGCCTGGGTGCTGTGAGCTGGCTGCAGCTGCCCCAAGACCACAGCTCCTGTCAGGGAGCACTCCCTCCCCGTCTCTCAGACATAGGGGTGGCCACAGCTCACAGCAGTCACCAGCCAGCCCAGGACTGCGCTGTCCCTGCGCCTCCCTGTATCTCGCCCACACCGTGTGGACGGTCTCTTTAGTAAAGCCCCTTATATTACCCATGTCGGCTGATCCACTGTAGCAGGCCTTTATCTAACCGAACCTCGCTGACGACCCTGGGAGCTCGCTGGGCTCTTCCCTTTCCTGCTGGAGCTAGAGGGCTCCCCCAGCCCCGTCAGCAATGATAATGGCCGCCAGCAGCATGCCACGTGTTTTAACTCATCTCTTATTTGGTACTCATACCAGCCCCTTGAGGAAATGGAGGCTTCGGGAGGCTTTAACTTGTCCAGGGCCAAACAGCTTGTAGGTGGTAGGGCCAGGATTGGCACCCAGGCCATTTGCCCCCATTCTTACATTTAACCACCAAACTCCGCTGCACCCCCACCCCTGGCTTTTCTGGAAGAGAATCAGCTGTGGTAGTTAAAGCTGCAGCCCCGGTTACAATCTGTATGTCCTTCCACACACATGTCTAGCCATGTGACCACAGGCTCCCCCTGACCACCTAAATCTTTGTTTACTAGCTGTGTGGCTCTAGACCAATTACTTAACCTCTCTGTGCCTCAGTTTCTTTATCCGTAAAATGGAGATATAATAGTACTTACCTCAGAGAGTTATGAGGATTAAACAAATGCATACATGTGTAGAACAGGGCCTTATGCATAGAATGCGCTCGAGCAGGGTTATCTATTATTGTTGTTACTGTTATTGTCATTTCCAACTTACCAAAATTCTCTCCGCCCCAGATGTCCATCTGGGCATCATACTTTCCCAAGTGGTTAAACCAGGACTTGTCGATCACAAAGATTCCTCCAGCTATGACAGGAGTCCTGGGAGCAAGGAGAGGAAAGAGGCAGTGCATGAGCTGGAGAAGCTGGGAACCCTTCTAGATGGCCCCAGAACCCCAGGTCATTTGCCCCAGAATCCCCCGCTTGCAGAGTCACAGGGGCAGGACATCCAGCAACTCCCTGACCTCTGTCTTCTCTGTCCCTGGGGCCCAGAACAGAGTCAGCACTTAGACAGTGCCCCCTAAGGAGCACCAGCAACTGAAAGAGCCCCCCCCCCAGCAGCCTCCCAGGCCCCCTGACCCAGGGAAGGAAGGGGTCTCTGCAGAGCCCACGGCAGCACTGACCTTATGGGCTTGGTGGGGTCGGTCCGGGCAATCTTCTGCTCAAGAGGGATCTGCTCCCACTTGAAATGCAGGCTCCAGTCAAATCCTAAGGGACAGAGTGGGGTGAGGACGGAGCTCAGGGCAGAGCTGCTGCAGCCCTCAGTCTCCCTTGATCAGAGCCCAGCTCGCAGAGGGCCCTGGGCAATTCATGCAGTCATTCCTTCACTCAGAACGAGACGGGTCCCTGCCCTCATTGATCTACTGGGTAGGACAGAGACTACAAAAATAAATCAATAAAACAATCTGCTAGTCAAAGGTGAAAAGTGTTAAAAAGAAAAATAAAGAAAAGAGAGGTGTTTGTACTATTCTAGTAAGGGTAGTCAGGAAAGGCTCTCTAAAGAGGTTACATTTGACCTGAATGAAGGACTGATCCATGCAGATATCTGGGGAAATGGAATTCCAGGCTGGGGGAACAGCAAGTGCAAAGGCCCTGAGGTGATTTCCCAAAGGAGAAATGCCTGGCTCCCTTCAGAACTCCACTCAACTCCAAGATCTAAGTAATAGCTGTTTCCATTTTTTGGAAGTCCGGGCCCCAAAAAGGAAAACCACTCTGCCCACTAGCTCCTAGCAACAGATTCTCTAGTGCAGCCTGTCCAATAGAACTTTCTGCAATGATGGAAATGTTCTATATCTGTACTGACTGTCCAATATGGTAGGCACTAGCCACATGGGGTTATTGAGCACTTGAAATGTGGCTAGTACAAGTTAGGAAGTGAATTTGAATTTTATTTAATTGTAATTTAAATATAAATAGCCAAATATGGCTATTATATTGGACAGCACGGCTAAAAAGTCTAAACCAGAGCTGTCCAAAAGAAATATGATGCAAGGCAGAAATGCAAGCTACATATGTAAATTTTTCTAGTAGCCATATCAAAAAGAACATATGAAATTAATTTGAATATATTTTAATGCAAAATACCCAAAATGTTATTATTTCAACATGTAATCAATATAAAAAACTACTGATGAGATATTTTACATTCTTTCATAATAAGACTTTGAAACCTGGTGTGTATTTTCCACCTACGGCACATCCCAATCCAGGTTGGTCACATTTTAAGAGCTCAATAGCCGTATGCGGCCCATAGTTACTGCATTAGACAGCCCGGGTCCAGACCACCTGCAGGTGTATGTATCAGGAATTCATGCATGACACTGTCCCATCATGCCTTTCTGCCAGGACTGTGGGCATGGTCCCTGGGCTGGCAGCCTTTGGGAAGGATGTGTCAGGGCTTGTGCCTCGGAGGGGAAGACACAAGACTAGCTGGGCTCTGTCACTGATTGGGCCAGAGGGCTTTGTCCCCAACCCCAGAGCTTTCCGTTTTCTGGTGGTGTGAGACGCTCTGGCACAGCTGGGCAGAAGAGCACCAAACCAAGGCTTGAGACTGCCCTCCCCTGCCCCTTTCAAGTCTACAGCCCCTCCTCTGGGAGATGGACCCACCTCCACGAAGATCAGCAGATGCAGCAAGGTAGGCAAAGTTATCCAGACTGATGACATCGATGATGGGGCTCACCACACGGGTGTGGTCCTGGAGGGGAGGGAACGAGAGATGGTGTGAGGCCAAGGACTCTGAAGAAAGGCCCAGCTGCCTGGACTGTGGGCAGAAGTTCTCTCCGAGCCACGGGGCACTCAGCCCTTTCTGCAGGATGCGGCAAGTTCTTGGGAGCTGTCCTGCAGCCCCATAGCCAGGCTCCTGGAAGGTCCCACCTGGGTCCCATGGGCACAGTGCTCTCCCAGCCTCTTCCTTTCACATCGTGCTTAGCCCTGCTGGGATCGCACCTCCTCAGTGAAGCCCTGCCGGATTGCTACAGGCTGAGGATTTCTTCCTCTTTTAAGCTGCTCTCACAGTTACAGTCCAGACAATTCCTGGGGCTCTGAATCATATGCTGTCTGAGGTGGCTCTTCTGTTGCTGGTTTGAACTGTTGTTTTATTAATCGTCATCCACCTTTGTGCATGTTCGGGCTGAGTCTTCCCAACTGGACCGCCAGCAGCGTGAGGGCAGGGACTCCGCCATCCCTTCGCAACCTGGCTGTCACTCTTTCATGCCACATCCGCTTCAAGGTCAGACGCATTGCTCCCTTCACCCTCCTAGGCACAAATCCACCTCCAAAACATTGGTGGGTAATGTCAATTTTACTAAAGATTCGGGGGTGGGGTGGCTTATGTCATCCACGCTATGCAAAACTGTCAATGGCCATCAGCCCTCTCTTTCCTCTCCCTCCACAGAGGGACCCAGACCAGAGCCTCTTCTCTCCCCACACTCTGTGCTGACCCTCAAAATCCTCTTGTCTGCAACTTGGAGCCCTGCTCTGCCCCTCGGTTCACACCCCCTCTCAGGACCAGAGCAGGGGAGACCACCCATGGTTTCCCAGAGAGCTCTGTGGGGGCCTCACCTTTGCCTTTTTATACACTTTTTTGTTCTGAGATATAATTCACATTTTTATAGCAATTTCATCAGCCGTAACTGACATGCGATAAAATTCACCATTTTAAAGTGTACAAATTTGGCTTACAATATATTCACAAGACTGTGCACCCATCACCCCTATCTAATTCCAGAACATTTTCATCACCCCAACAAGAAACCCTGTACCTGTTAGCGGCCACTCCCCATCCTCTCTCCCTCCAGGCCCTGACAACCACTCATCTCCTTTCTGTTTCTATGGCTTTGTTTTATTCTGGACATCTCGTATCAGTGGAATCATAGGACACGTGGCCTTCTGTGACCGGCTTCTTTCACTTAGGGAAACGTTTTCATCCACATCGTTGCACGTTATCAGTACTCCATTCCTTTTTATGGCTGACTAGTACTTTGTTGTATGGCTATCTTGACAGACATCTGGGCTCTTTCCACATTTTGGCTATTCTGAATGATGCTGTCCCGAAAACTGCGGTGCAAGTTTTTGTGTGGCGTGTGTTTCCATTTCTCTTGGGTATATACCCAGCAGTGGAAGGGTCATCAGGTAACTCCGTGTTTAAGCTTTTGAGGAACTGCAGGACTGTTTTCCAAAGCGGCTGCCCCATGTTACATTCTCACCAGCCATGAGTGAAAAGGCTCCCACTTCACACCCTCACCAGCCCTTGTCACTCTCCATCCTTTGGTCACAGCCATCCTGTAGGTATCAAGTGGTATCTGACTGTGGTTTTGACTTGCATTTCCCTCAAGGCTTAAAAATGTTGAGGATCTTTTCCTGTGCTTGTTGGCCATTTGTGTATTTGCCTTGAAGAAATGTTCATCCAAATCCTTTGCCCATTTTTAAGTTGGGTTATTTGTCTTTTTATGGTTGATCCGTGATTACCTCATCCTTCCCTCCACCTGTCCTACCCTCCCCCTTCTAGTGAAATGCAGGCACGTGCTAGGGACCTCCTGTCCTCATCTGTCCTTGACAAGGACACACACTCCCTTCCTCCTTCTCAGGCTTCCCAGCCTTGACCCCAAGCTGCACCCCGCCCCTGCATAGGACCCGCCTCCCCCGGGAGCAAAACCTCACCACCATTCGTAGTAGGAGCTTTACAGCTCACCCAAGCTCACATCCACATGAATTCTCACAACAACCCCGTGAGACAAATACTACAGTTACCCCATTTTCAGAGGAGAAAGCTCATTAACATGATGTCACTCAGGTGGAAGCAGACCATTTAGGCTCCCACTCTGCCTATCCAACGTCAATGACTGTTCACGCGCCCTCATGCCAAGAACATGGTGGGCACATCCCAAGGGACAGAGCTCCCCCAGGGACAGAGGGACTCACCTCCTTGACCCGCTGCAGCATGGGCTGCAGCCACTCGGTGTTCACTTCACAGTGGCTGTCCAGAAAGGTGAGCACGGCAGCTGTGGCCACATCTGCCCCGCGAACGCGGGACCGGATCAACCCTGCCATGAGAGTGGACAGGGGTTGATACTGGGATGGGGCCAGTTTGCTTCCCCGCCATCCCGCAAAAGTCTCAGGGCTCTCAAGGCTTCCTCTGAGTTACTGTGATTGAGCTTTACTTTGTATTTGATTCTTTCCTCCCTCCCTCCCTCTCTTTTCTCTCATCCACTCAGCAACCATCATTACTCCAGGCTCATTCTCTGAGTGCTCTCTGTGTACCAGATACTCTTCTGGGCTCTGGGGACACACCGATGAACAGTCAGGTGTTAGTGAATGGAATGTGCATTCGAGTGTGTTTTGGTACCAAAAGAAAACCAGAAACCAAAACCCTTTCCTCCCTACCCCCCGGGATCTCTAAGCCGCCCCCTTCAGCTGCATCGTCATGTGTGACCTCGTGAGAGGTGACCTCGTGAGAATCTTCTAGACTAAGACAGTCTGGAGTTAGTATGCCAGACCCTTCACGTACCTTAAGCATGTTATTTAACCTCTCTGAGCCTGGGTTTTCTCATCTAAAAGACTCAGAGAGAAAATAATCCCCACCTGCTGGGGAGAGTGCCCGGTGTCTAGAAGGCCGACACTTCAGCTAGATTCTGCTCTGCTTCGACCCCCACCCCAAACAGTCTTGCTGATGGCTCACCAGCTGTCAAAGAATGGCCTCGCTTTTGGCAGCTCCTGGGGAGAGAGGAGGCCCAGCTGGGACTACTGAGAGAACAGCCACTGGTGTCCTGTGAGCTGTGGAGATGGAGGGGCCTCACTCTAAGAGCTCAGCATACAGTTGCTCCTTGGAGAGATTTCCCTGGCCATACCTCTGCCTGTACTCTGCCTCCATCCATCTGACTATACACCCATCTGTGCAAAAATCCATCTGTCCCATCCTTGCACTCCACCGGTAGGTAGCAAGTACTGAAGGTTTGTACCCATGTTGGGCAAATCCCAGGAAACATTATATTCCTGGGCCTAAAGGTACCTACAACCCAGTGCTTGGGAGAAATTTCATTTCTCTCTGGCCTCTTCCATGCCAGTGAGCAGGTCTCCTTGGTCTGACTGCTCTTTCTTAATTATGCCCCTCACATCTCTCTCTCTCTCTCTCTCAAACTTTCAGTGGCTCCCTACTACCTGCCTTATCAAGTCTAAATGCCTTTCTCTGGCTTCCAAGGTCTTCTGCCATCTACCCTCACCCCACCATTTCCCCTACTGACCAGACCCAGATTCTCCCAGGCAGGGAGGAGGAGAGGGAGGTTAAGGGCGGCCTCCCTCCTCCAGGTTGGAATTCTGGCTCCTCTACTCATCACCGTGGGCAAATTACTGAACCTCCCTGGGCCTCACTTTCCTTATATGCGAAGGGGGACGATGGGCTGTTAGGAAGAAGGAATGTGAGCACACGGGCAGAGTGGACGCCTGCTACAGGTGAGCCCTCAGGGAGAGGGCTGTTGGTATGACAGGTGCGCCTGTGCCGGGCCAGCCCTCGTGCCGAGTCCGCAAGCCTGGACTGCCCTGCTTGCTCCCTTCACCTGTTTCGCTGCGCCCTCGCCCAGGCAAGGCCTAGTCCCCCATCACGTCCCTCTCCTGGGGTCTGCCCCCACATCACCATGACCAGTCTGTGCCTGCGGTTGGTCCTGACTCCTTGGCCTTACAATAAGCTCTCCGAGGGCAGGGACCAAGTTTCATACTTGTTTTGTGCTTCCTAGAGTGCCATGTACAATCCTAGCTGCGTGGCTGATGCTCCGAAACACCTCTCGATTGGAAGTGAGGTGACATCTGCTTTATAATGCCCCAGGGCGCCTGGGTGGCTCGGTCAGTTAAGCATCTGCCTTCGGCTCAGGTCGTGATCCCAGCATCCTGGGATCGAGCCCTGCATCGGGCTCCCTGCTTGGCAGGGAGCCTGCTTCTCCCTCTCCCTCTGCCTCTGCCTGTCACTCCCCCTGCTTGCTCTTTCTCTCTCTCTCTGTCAAATAAATAACTCCACTTCTCAGAAGAGACAGCCCAGGCAGCCAGAAGTACAGCGACTTGCCTACAGTCATGCCGTGGCAGAGGCTGACCCGGGATAGCAGAAGGGTCTTTCCACACCCCTTGGTCCTGGCCACCAGGAATGCAGTAGGCGCATGCTGGCTTAGTGTGACATGGTGCCAAAAGGGAATGGGGAGGTGCAGAGGTCTAGACCAAAATAGGTCTGCAGTGGCACCCAGGATCCAAGAACTTACCTTCCCGCCGATCATTGCGCAGGCACTTGACCTTGGGGATCCTGGTCAGGAGCAGACAGTCTTCAGCTGAAGGTGAAGGAAAGGAAGCAAGCTCATTCAGATATGGGCGTCAGACCACAAGGGGTTTGGTCGCCCCTGGAACCGCCCAGAAGATGTCTCACAGTAGGTCCAGGGAAAGGGATGGGGGTGGGGAGGTACACAGGAGCATGGTCATCTCTAATGGCCAAAGGATTGCCCTGTGCCTCACTCCCAGGCCAGACTGAGGAATACTTATGGCATTGCCCCCAGGGGGCGCCAGAGAGCACCAGCAGGTCACACCGGGTAGCCAGGTCAACACCAGCGCGGCCACACTGAAGGGACAATCCTCAGCATTCGGCACTTGTAAGAACAAAGGATGCTGCTGATGTTGCTTCTGTTTTTAAAAAATGTCATCTCACTGGTGTCCCATCAAAACAACACCACTCTTCCCCCTTCCTTGGCACCTGGGAACAGAGTCAGGGAGGGCACCTAGAAGACTAAAGATCCGGTTGGGGCACCTGGGTGGCTCAGACGGTTGAGCGTCTGCCTTCGGCTCAGGTCATGATCCCGGGGTCCTGGGATCAGCCCCGCATCGGGCTCCCTGCTCCGCAGGGAACCTGCTTCTCCCTCTCCCTCAACTGTTCCCCCTGCTTGTGCTCTCTCACAGTCTCTCTGTCAAATAAATAAAATCTTAAAAAAAAAAAAAAAAGAAAAGATCCCAATTGAGGGGGAGGGGTCAGCCCGTGATATCCAGCACGGCCCTGGGAGCGCTTGCCTCCACGCTCTGGGGAAATGAGAGTTTGGAAGGGTGCGAATAACAAACAGGAGGTAGAAACTTACGATCTGAACTGAAGTCATCCACTAAGATGATCTCCTGGATCAGGCTGGCTGGAGTTCGGTTCAGGACACTGGAGTGATGGGGACATAGTGATGGAGACAGAGGAGCCTGGATTTAGGGGTCACCGTCCATTTACCTCTCCCTGCCCCAGGACTCCCCCACCACCCAGCTCAGGGGCCAGCACACTAGCCACGAGCAGCTCCTTGCAAAACTCCCGGGCCCTGATGAGTGGCTGAGGAGCAGTATCGTCCTCAGGCTCTTCCGAGGACCTGGCTGACCCTGCTGCCTGGACCTGCAGGCACCCGGGATCTGGGCCAGATGGGTTGTGGGAACTGCCCCAGTTTTGTTGTCAAGACAGGACCTGTAGCTGCTCTGACTGCTTAGGCTTAACAAGTTCTGCCAGGGCTGGGAGCGGTGGGTGGGTGGGTGGGGGTGCGGGGGGGAACGGGACACCACCCAGCTAGGCCCGGAACTGCCGGCCTGCTTTCCTTCCCACCATCCTTCCTCTTCCTCTGCTCCCTGGGAAAGGAACCCCAAGTTTCTTTAATCCCTGGAATACTCCAAATCCTATCCTCGTTAAAGAAATGGGGCAAGTAGGAGTTAAACTTGACCGCAGGGCCAAGTTAAGGAGGACAGAGGGGCATCTCCCTATGAATTGTTGGATGGCACCTACTGGGCTAACGGCCATCCACCTGAGGTTTCATGTCCATCCCTGACTCCCTTGGCTCCTGACCCTTGAATATCTGCCTTTGTCCTGGGGACTGGACCTTGTGTTTGTGCATCCCAATAACTAGATTGCTGGGGTCTCTCTGACCCTGATTCACCAGCTCCAGCTTCTCGGAAGGACAGGACTCCACCTCCCAGTGCCTGACCTCTTCACACCATCTGGCCCCGCACCCTGTCTCAATGTGCACTCCTGCCGGGGGCTTGGCAGATCTTCCCGAGGCCTCGGGGAGCAGCACCATTGAGGCGAGGGTCCTGAGATGGGGCTCACCTCTTCACAGTGCGCAGGAGGGTGGAGCGGGCCTCATTGTGGAAGGTAATGATGACGCTGGTGGCCGGCAGGTCCGCAGAGTAGGAAAGAGACGGGCAACTGCGAATGGAGCACAGGGGTCAGAGGGCAGCGTGGGAGCATCCTTAGGACAGGCTTGAGGCTTCTCTCTGTCCAGCCTGCTGCCCCCAGGAATACCTCTGTGGGACAGGGAAGGCAAGCCTGAAGCCAGGGGGCGGGGCTGCCCTCCAAGCCCGCACTCCACCCCACTCAGCCCATCCGGCCTGGAGCCCTAAGAGGGAAGCCACAGGTTGGGGCACTTTCCCCGGCCTGGTCATCTTTACTGAAGACCTAGAGCCCTCAGAACCCCCATCACTGAAGTGTTCAGAAGGGTTCTGACCATTGTGCCTGTGTGGGCACCGCTCCAGGCCCCGGGGACCCAGCCCTGGGCCAACAGACGGAGCTCCCTGCCTGCTGGAGAGACAAAATGGGGGAGACGGGGAGACCAGCCTCTGTTCAGCTACAGCTACAGCACCCTGTAGTTTCTTTCTCTTCTCCCGGCTCGCGACGTTTGGAGGATCTGGAGAGGAATCGCCCCTCTGCTATCGTCCTGTGACTCCCTCCCTCTCGCTGCCCAGCCTGGACAGCTGGCTGGTGGCCCGGGGCGGGGGAGCAGCCTGTCTCCTCTGGGGGCCCTGGCCTCCCCCTGGAGCACACAGAAGCCCCGAGAAGACCACGAGCAGTGCCTGCCACCCCGCTCCCTCCCCCTTCTCCGGCTCACACCACATTTTCAGCCATTGGCTTCCCCCTCCTCAGGAAAGGGAATTAAAACAATCCATTCCTGCCAGCCTCCATCCCTGTCGCTTCTGCTGGTGCTTTTATTCGTGCTCCTGGGGCCGGCGGGAAGGCAGCTGGTTTTCATGGCAATCTTCTTTATTACAATTGCTCTCTGACTATTCCAGCAGGGTCTGTTTTCTCATTCCAGCACTCACGCCCAGACAGCGTCTTACAGCCGGATTCCCAGGCCCATTTCCTGCCCTGCAGAGCAGATGGGGTCAGAAAGGCAGGAGTCCCACCAGCCTGGGACCCCCATGGGAGGAATCCTGAGAGGCTTTAGAATCATTCTCCCTGACAGGCGATGTAGGGAGTAGGAGGGGTGGAGGGGTAGGGAAATTCACCTTTGCCCCCCCCAAAAGCCAGGCTTCCCAAGTGCATCCTCCCAGAGGCATGCAGATTTGGGGGTGGGAGTGGGCTTGGCCTGCTGGGATGGGGGGGAGTGCTGGGAGAAGCAGCTGCCTCCTGGGTTCCCGGCCCCCCAGCACTGACCTCCAGGGACCCACGTCCTGACAGGGAACCCCAACCATCTGGTGCCCAGGAAGGAGAGAATCTGGATAGTGATGCCCATTCTCCACCTGAAAGTGGCCTACCTACCCATACCCCATCTGGAGGGTAGACTTGACCTCCCCCCAACCCGCCCCCTCCAACTCTCTCCACTCTGCATTTCTCTGGGATTTACAACCATGATGATGGCGATTTATCCGGCTCTCAGGAGCCAAGAGCCTTTGAAGAGGTTTGACCCAGGCCTGTGTTTCAGGTTTGGGGCTGGTGGGGTTTTCTTTGTGTTGCTAGTAGGTCTGTCTTGCCTGGTCTCTCTGTTCCCCTTGAGGGGGCTCCCCAGATTGAGGGCTGGACGAGGAGGTTCCAATCTACACACGCGCGCACACACACACACCCCGATCCACCTCAGGCTTCTGGGGGGGCTGGTAGCAACACGGGGGCAGGAAGGGAGGCTGGCCTCACCAAACCAGCCCTGCCTCACACTCGAAGAGTCTTGTTTTAAGACCTGTGTCTCCCCAAGAGAAACTCCTCCTTTAAGTTCTTCAGTGAGCACCTGAGAAGCTAGGAGGGGGGCTTAGTGGGAGTGAGGGCAGAGGTGATCCAGGCTAACCCCGGATCAGTTCAGAGATTTGGATCCATAGGACCTCTACGCCTTGGGGTCAAGGTTGGCCGTAGCCGGGGTTGCCAGGAAAGGTCTCCAAACAGAGTTGTGTGGACATAGCCTTGTAGGCCCCACAGTGCAGGTGGACTCCGCACCAGCATTGACTGAGAAAGAACTTGTGAGATCTGAGCTGGCCAGTGGACCTGTGGGGAGGCCTTTCCGAGTAGCAGGGTTATCGTCGTACTAGCAGTGCTGGGGTTCCAAGACAGTGAGGACAGTCTGGGGCTCCCCCGACTCCATGTCCATCTCCTCTTGACAGGCGGCCAAGCCCACCGGATTTCAGGCTCACCTCCATGAGTGACATGGAAAGTGCTAGAAGCATGTCCCTTTCTGCACCCTTATCTCGCACATACCTTTTGTGCTGTGGAGTAGCTGCTTCAGAAGGAAAAGCAATCTTGACCTGCATCATCCCCACCTACCCTTAGACCAGGACCAGCCTGGTGCTAGGAACACAGCTGGTCCAACACAGCCCATGTGGGTCCCTCAGAAACGCAAGCACATGGGTGAGTCTGCTCCAAGAGCCCCTCCTGCCCTGTCAGCACGGAGCACAGATGAAGCCCCCAGACCAGCCTGGGTTGGCAAGGAACCTTCCCTGGAGGAGAGGACATTGAGCGGAGTTGTGAAGGTACAGGTGGGGGGTGGGGTTCAGGAGGGGGAAACAGTGTGTGCATAGACAAGGGCGGGGGGACAGAAGGGCATAGGACTGCGGGAGCATTAAGTGCTAGGCAAAAAGGAACATTGGTTCAGGGCCAGGAGGGGTGGCTTGCACTTCAGGGTAAGGACCTCAGACTATTCCCATAGGTGAGGGCAGGAAGGGGGGACTGGAGGTGGCAACTATAATCCAGACAGGACACATCAAGGGCCTGAACCAAGGAGGGGGCATTGATGGCTTGCCCAAGGTCGGTCACTTATACCGAGTGCAGTCGGAGTGGGGATCATCATGGAAGGTGTCCTTGGTCCTGCTCTGGGGCCTCTCCCACCTAGCTCACTGGGAGAGCCAAGAGCAAGGCTGGGGAGCATTTCTGGGAACTGCTGAGGAAGCGGGGGCAGCGGGGCAGGAAGACGAGAATCCCTTGCACAGTGCGGGCAGGGTTGGTGGCCCCTCTTCACCTTAGCCACCATCAGCAGGCTCGCCCACCCCCTCTGGCCTCCCTGTGGTCCCCTGGCAGCCCCCTCTCACTGGGACTCCAGACTGAGGTGCTGAGGGGCCTCCCCGGCGCCCACTGAGTCTCCTTGGCCGTCTCAGGCCCTCCGGAGGTCAATGAAACAGAGGAGGCGAGAGAACAACTGAGGGTGAGGGTGTGAGGCTCTCAACAACCAGATGGAGTCTGAGGCGATCTTTCTCATTCCTTCCGTCCCGGGGACTGCTGACGGGGGCCGGCCCTGCCCTCCCCGGCGCCATGGATGCTGTACCTGTAATGGCGTGTGTCCCGGATGGCTCGGTCTGGGCTCAGCTTGTCACTCTCCAGCTGGTTGAAGGCATGCTGCCTGTAAGGGTCCTCTCCGGCCTTCAGCTGCTTGGCTGCCAGGTACGCCTTCTCATCGAAGCCTCTGGAGGGTGTTCCTGTCACCTGAGCCAAAGGTCAGCATCAGAGGGGTCGCAGGCGGGAGGATAAAGCCGCCACTGTGGGGTGAGCCCTGATCCCGCCGGCAGGAGCCAGCTGCCTCACCTCGTCCGTACTTCACCCCAACTCTGTGAGCAGGAGATCAGTACTTCCCCCCTTGTACAGATAAGGAAACCGAGGCTCAAGAAGTTAAAAAAACAGTACCCAAACTGCTCTTAAAAGATGAAGGCTTTTTTTTTTTTAAAGCCCAAGGTCAGAGCTAATGAGTCACAGTTTCTGGATTCAAACTGGTTGTTCTGACCCGGAAAGTCATTCTCTTGCCCAGTGCTCTTTGCTGGATTTGGAGAAGGTGACCCCCGAGATGAGGTGCCCTGAGGGGACCACCAGCCAAGCTGGAGGTCGCCAAGCAAGCTACAGTGTCCTAGGGATAAACTTGGGCCTGACCCTGGACTAGGCATGCAGTAAAACAGCCGGGGCTTGGATGAGCTGCTGTCCAGAGAACTACCTGTGAGGACAAGTAGGCCCTTCCAGGCTCGTGCCAGAGCTGCCAGAACACCCAAATGCAGACAACGGTGCCTCTTCTCGGGGACTGGCACTTGCTGCCGAGATAGCCCCACGTCAGAGCTCCTGGCTCACCGGAGGAGTGATGGATCACACAGGCCATGGCCCAGCCTCTCTCCTCTTAGCCACACCCCACTCTGTACTCCCAAAGTCCCCCCATGAAAGACCCTGGGGAAGGACACATCTGAGATGAATGGAGAGATAGATGGATCCTGACATCTCATTATTTGAACCAAACTGCTGGCTGGATGTTCCCCCAGAGTGCCTTGAGATATCATCAACGGTGAGCGCATCCTGACTGCAGCCCTCCCACCTGCCCAGCAGCCTGGGCTGGAGCTGTGGGCCCCCAGAGGCAGCGGGAAGGTGGGCGAGGATTATCCAGACACAGAACTCTGCATGAGGACTCCATCAAAGGCCTAGCCCCAGAGGGATGGTCCCTGGAAGGTAGTTGGACGTGGGGGAGAGGAGACCAAGGTGTTGGGTGATGCTGGGGGACATCCACAGTGGCCCGGGGCCTCCATGAAAGCCTAGCCCCGGACCTCGCCAGCAGGAATGCGGAAGGCTCCAGGGGGTGAGTATCTCCTTCAGGGATGCCACTCTGTCGGGTTCCAGCCTCCGGGTGCATCCTGTCCTAGGAGCCAGCCCCTGAGCTCCCTGAGGTCAGAGCTGGTGAGGGAGGTCTCCTCGTGTCCACCGGGCCCAGCTACACACAGATGCTCAGGATGGTGGCCACGGCTGCGGCGGCCACACTGTGATTGATATTCGGAGTTGGTGCCATGACAAGGGCTGGACAGATGTGGCAGAGCCCCCATGGGCTGGAAATACATTTCAGGAAAGACAGAAGGAGGGAAGGAAGGAGAGAGGGAGAGGGAGAGGAAGGCTGTTTTGACCTGAACCCTGGATTGCTAGAAGGACCCAAGCTGTCCATCTTGGAGAGTGAGCAGGAGAAGTTCTCTGTGTCCTTCCCACCTGGGAGAAGGACGGGCGCCAACTCTTCCCCCCCAATTCCTCCCAGCCCAGGTCAGAGAAATGGGAAGCAGCTTCTATTGATATCTGAGATAAAAGAAAAGAAAAACTGCAGAAGCTCCCAAAGGGAGAGTATGCCACTTAATTATCCTGCAAGCCAACTGTGGGAAATAACCGTGTTTATTTATTTAGGGCTTCTGGCCACTCTGTGGGCTCAGGAAACCTCTGAGTCCTCATCCCACACTCACCCATCACCCAAGAAACATGCATTGAGAGCAGTGCATCTACCAGGCACTGGGACACCCCTCTGCCAAGTTCCAAGGCCTATCTGATCATTCATTCAGTTGTTCAAGAATGCTTGAGTTCACTCACTCTTTCATCCAGTCACCCAGTCATTCCGCAGAGCTCCACAGAGCACTCCCTAGTGCCAGAGGGAAGGAATGCTCAGGAGACTCTTCCCCCATCTCCAGCCTGCAGGCTTCCTGCGCCTCAGGCAAAGCTTCCTCAGGGCTCTAGAGAATGTTGTGGAAGACCAAGGGCTCAGGCCAAGGTTCACTAGAGGAGTTCTGTTCACTAGCGAAGCTCACTAGGATGAGCTAGACATCCTCAAAGATGCTGTTCAGAAGCGTCTGCTGCTCCCTCCCGCAGACCATAGCCTCCGAGGGTGCTCCAGCTGTCCTCCAAGGCTAGACCCTTCACTTGTGAGCCACCTCGTGAAGAAGGGTGCTGTGGAGTCCCAGTCCCTGTTCCCTCCCTGGGGTCTTAGCCCTGCTTCCACGTTGACCCAGCATATCTGGGGCCTGGAGCCGAAACATCAGTTGGCCCCAAGTCAGCCAAGTGGAGGGGACACTAAGGAAGGGTAGGATGTGATCTCTGTAGGGCTTTAACTTCCTCTCTGCCCAGCGCCTCCCTGGCCTCACCCCGTCCCGACCCAGACATCTTCTACCTGGTATCTCACTAGTTCATATGCCTGCACCGCAGCTCATATTTCCTCACGGCTCTCGACCCCTCCTTTCCCGTTGGCCCTGTTCTTTGATCTTGAGACTTTCAGGCCTTCGAATGGCCCATCGGTACCGCTAACTCAACACCTCAAAACGAATTTGTCCCTGAAGACCACCACATGCTTCTCCTGCATGGCTGGTTGCAGAGGTGGGCAGTGCTGACCTCCTGGTCCTCCCAATAACACATGCAGGGGTCATCCGTGATGTCTTCCCCGATGCTCCTCAGCCTGACCGAGACCACGGCCCTGCATATCCACAGCGGTGTCCTACGGGCTCACCACTAGTGCTACATCAACAAATATTTCCTGCAAGTCTCGTACATGCAGGCACTGTGCAAGAGGCTGGGAAGATGGAAATAAGCAAAAGCAGTATGGACCCCAGAAGAGAAATCTAGGAACCCAGATCACCCCTCGCGGCTCCCCCATCCTATGCCAGACCTGGCCACGGAAGTTCAAGAAGAAACCCTCACCCTCAACCTCAGATCATGGGTAGCTGGAGACCTGGCCGTGGAAGCCCATCCCACCCCAAGCCTAGCTGGAACCGGAGTCCAGACAGGGTGCATGCGCCACAGACTGGGGACCAGTGAATGCTCTTCCCCTTCTGCCCTGTTTTCCCACCCACACCGCTTACTAAGCACACTGGCGAGGGGTAAATGCATCCTTTGGCTCGAGGCTGTAGGACCATGAGGAGCTATATCTGGATCAGCCTGGGAGATCTGAGATCCTGGGCTTGGAGCAGTAGGAGCCACACATGGGACTCGTACCGCTGCCCTTTCTGGAGGGGATGCGGGCACTTAGCTGCTTGTGGAATTCACAGATCACACGGCACCGACGTCTGTGCCTTACTTCTCTTTCTTTTCCACTAGATGGTGAGATCCCCACCTTCAGGCTCCCAGCACCCAGCACGTAGTAGGTACTGAGTGGATGTCTGCTGAATAAAGGAAGGAATGAATGGATGTCTGCTGAATAAAGGAATGAATGAGTGAATGAACGAATGAATGAATACCTAAATAATGTCCCTGCTCTCAACTTACCTATAATCAACAGGGGAGAAAACCACAGCTAACAAAAGGGAATGCTCTGACATATCACATGACCTTCTGTGGCTTTTGCTCTCCTGACAGAGCTCACAGTGGCCCAGGGCACTCTATGGGTGGGGGCCCAGTTACCTCATGGGCTCGGGTTCTGCTGTTGCCCCCTCCCTGGCTCTGTTCTGGCCACACTAGCCTCCTAGTGTTCCTTGAGCCTGCCGGCACCCTTCCCCTCAACCCCTCTGTTCCTTCTCCTTCCTGGAAGGCTCTTCCAGATGTCTGCATGGGTCCCTCCCTCACCCCTCTGCAAGGCTCTGCTCAAACCTCACTTGTGTGAGCCTTCTCTAACCGCACCCCCACCCCCCGCACCTATAACCCTATGACCCCACCCCCTCATTCCCTATCCTCCTGCCTTGTTCTAAATTTCCTTCTAGCTGATGGAAGTGTCATCTGATGTTCTTTCTATGTGTATTTTGCTTAGTTATTTTATCTTTCTGACTGCTTCTCCCCACAAGAATATAAGGGTCACTAGGGAAGGGATGGTCTGTTTTGTTTAATGCTGGATCCCAAAACCCGGAACAGTGCCTGTTGGTAGGATTCAAAATCAATGGCTAATGAATATGCGAGTGATGAGCTGTCATGACCCCACTCATCCCCTTCCCCTCCCACATATGCGTACTTGGCTAACACATTACTTGGAACTGAGGTGGACCAAGTTGGTGGCAGGGTAGTTTCTGCTTACCTTGGGGATTTCCTTCCCACTCATATCTCTTGGCAGGACTGTTAAACACTGTCCTCCTGTCCCATCAACGCCTTGATCACCTCCACAGGGGTGGGCACAAGGCCCAGGCTAGGCTGATCTATCATAGAGATTGGTGAAGCAATCATCATTTGACTCAATCTGGGCCAATCAGAATCCACTCTGAGAACTTTCTATAAGATGAGCTCTTTTTGTCATGTCCCATAAACCTGGGAGGCAAGTCCTCTTGCCTATTACATGGAGAAATTTTGTCTGGAGAATGAAGAAGAAACAATCAGAGCCAAGAGACAGAAAGAAAGAGCTATAGTGATATTATCTGGGGATCCCTGGAGCTAGTCATATCTGATCCCAATTCATCTTGGGTTTTTTTTGTATCTGTCTATCTATCTGCCTATCTACCTTCCTACCTACCTACCTGTCTTATCTACTACCTATCTGTCCTCTTTTTTTTTTTTGCTTAAACTAGTTTGAGTTGACTATCCTCTCTAATAACCCAAAATTCAGAGATGTCAGTCCTTCAGTCATTCCAGTGAATAGAAAACCACTCTCCAAAAGTAAGAAACAGAGGTGCCTGGGTGGCTCAGTCGGTTAAGAATCTGCCTTCGGCTCAGGTCATGATCCCAGGGTCCTAGGGTTGAGCCCCGCGTCGGGCTCCCTGCTCCGTGGAGTCTGCTTCTCCCTCTGCCTC